GTCGCTCCTGTGAGACCGGCCAAGAGCCAGCAGGCTGAGCCTCGCAAGGAGGATAGGAAGAAGAAGCAGCGCATGGAAACCTTTGCTTCGGAGGCTCAGGAAGCCTCCAAGAAGGCATCCAAGGCCAAGGAAGAGGTTAAAGCACCCGAAACAACCGCCTGGCTAAGCAATTCCAACGACAAGGATGAAGCCGATAACCGCGAATTCGCCAGACAGCTCGCCAAGGCTAAGGAGGGCACCAAGCTTGCGACCAAGGCGGACTCTGGCAAGCAGCGAGAGAAGTCTGTCAAGCAGTCCCGCGCCAACAAGATGGCTGGTGCGACTGAGGACAAGGAATCGGCGCCTTCTTCCACCACCGGTGCCGACGCCGATGACGACCAGTCTCCCGTCACCTCGCCCGAGGTTGGTCCCGCCGTTGCTGTTGCTGGCGACGTCTCCGACATGCTCGAGGCCGCCTCGGCCCGCCCCAGCATTCTGCGTCTGACCGATACCGAGGAGAAGAAGTCGAACAAGAAGGCTCCCAAGGCCGCCGCCCCTGTTGAGACCAAGAAGCAGCGTCAGAACCGCAAGAAGGCCGAGGCCGCCAAGGCTGCCCGTGAGGAGGCTGAGAAGCAGCGCAAGGTCCTCGAGGAGAAGCAGCGCCGTACCGCTCGCGTTGCTGAGGGACGTGCTGCCAAGGATGGTTCTCAGTTCATGGCTGCTCAAGCTGCCAAGTCTGTCTGGAAGGAGGGTGCTCCCAAGGCCCCCGAAGCTCCCAAGACGAACGGTTTCCACCAGCCTCTTGACACCTATGAAGAAGCCCCTGCCAAGGCCGTCAACGCTCCCAAGCCTGCTGGTAACAACTGGACCGAGTCCCTCCCCTCGGAGGAGGAGCAGATTGAGATGCTCAAGGAGAATGACGACGAGTGGAGCACCGTCAAGACCAAGTCGAAGAAGGCTTCCAAGAAGGCGCCTTCGGTTGAATCCAGCGACGAGCCCTCTGCCCGCCCTGCTGCTCAGCCCCAGCAGCCCATTGGCAACAAGGCTGCCAAGCCTACCCAGTCCTTTGGATCGTTCTCGGCCCTCACCAACAAGAACGACGTTGCCGATGAGGAGGAAGAGGAGGAGGAGTGGGATGTTTGAAGATGACAAACACACACCCTCTAACGGCACCCTCGCCCAATTCTGTACACAACGTGTCTCGGGACACGTTTATTTCTCTTTCCCTTTCACTGTTTTCTAGTTGGCAACTTTCCTTTCTTCAGTTTTTTCCCCCTTCCTGCGAAAAATTGGATCCTCAGACGATGTCCCAGACAGACATTGTCAGGACCATGGTCGGGTGCGGTAGCACAAGCGTTTGTGGTTGGGAGTTCAGGTTTCATGGTCGAGATTTATTCTATCGAAGCGAGACACCCCGTCGAAGATAACGAATCCGATGGAATACATCACGGACACAGTTCACATCTACGGTCTAAAAGCGAGAGGCACATGCCAGCCGTGGGATCGAGGGAAGCCTACGGTCGAGATATAGGCTGAAAGGGGGGATACGAGGAAGCTGGGTCATGCATGTATGTATTGGTAGCTCATAAGCACGCGACAATGATCGCCTCGAGGAAGAGAACAAAATGAGTGATAATTAGCTGCGAATCAAGTATTGAAATGATGACCTGTGTTGTCTGAGTGGTGTGTAGTAAAGGCTGGGCTTGGTTTGGACTCGAAAGACCAACTGCCTACCTCGGCCCCTACTTGGAGCTGGCGGTCAAGGCAAGGATAGGTTTGTGTACACGTTTTGGAGACAGGGCACGGGCAAGGGCAAGGGCTCGCAAGGGGTGTATTACTGTAATTGTGTAGGTAGCAATGGCTGGAGGAGGCCAAGGTTGGATAGAGGCATCTGTGGCGTGAGGAATGCAGAAGCCACGGCGTTTCTGGAGGGGTTTCTGAGGCTTACACGAACTGAGGAGGCGGTTAATAGGTACAGAGTGCAGGGCGGGTTAGGGAAGTTGCGGTATGATGAGATGGATGACGGGAGAGTCATGGATTCATCATGGGTGCCCAGGGAGGTCAATTGGGGGTGGCATGCAACAACCCCAGAAGCGAGGAAACGATTGGATCTTGGCGAAAGCCGATATCGATTTGCCAGTTGTCTCGTCTCGTCAAAAGTTGCTGTGGTTTGATAACCTGCCGAGAGTTTATGGGTGAGATCCATAGCTCGAACTCCATCATGACGCCCCGGCTTAACCGTCTGGCTCACATGCATGAGACTACATGTAGTCAAGAGTGGCGGGAGGGAAAAAGAGCTCAGATGCAGACTAACTTTCATGATGAACGTGAAGCGGCGCTGGAGCCTCTCGAAAAGAGGAGGCCCTTGCATGGTGGTGGTGGAGCGAATAGGATGAGGTGATGCGGGCTCATGTATGCATGCCATGCTCTGGCGATGCGACGGAGACGAGGAGGAGGGTTGGGAAGACACGCACACGTCGGCTGGGCAGCTTGGCCGCGCCAAGCCGGATGATGAGGGAACGAGTTGGACCGAAAGAGGGAGTGGATTGGTGTGTTCCCGGAGCTGGTATCCAATAGGCGTAAAGCAGACACGGCACCGAAGGCCGAGCCGGGGATTACGGGATGCGGGACGCCGGTGGGCGGGATGGGTTAACTATGGATCGCGGGTGACGAAAGGCAAGAGGCAAACCGGAATGAACGGTATCGCAAAAAAGTATGAGATCGGTAAAGCCGGGGAGGGGGGGGCACTACTGTATTACGGAGACAAAGATCTGATGTTGAAATATTTTAGATGCAAGCGAGAAAGGGAAAGAAAAGGAGACAATTGGGATGCGCGGTGAAGAGCCAAAGACGTCACCAAGCGGGATGGAGGCTGGAAGAGGCGGCGGCCCAGAGTTTGGTGCCTCCTCGTGTTTGGACAAGCCCGACTACCTAACAAAACATAAACTTTTTTTCTTTTTCGATAAACACATGGCGAGGATTTACGAAGAGGTTTGTAAGGGTATGAATCCATGTTCATGCGTACGATATATTCAATGCAACGTTGAGGTTGGGTGCGCAATGACAATTTCTTTTTGTTGTGTTGCATCTTTTGAAAGCTGAGACTTGGATGAGACGGCCAGTGATGGACAATGACGGTGATTATCGAGTTGATGGTCTGATTCGGGCCTGTAAGACATTAGTCTGGCCCTAGGAGGGAAGATGTAGGTATCTAAATATAATATATCAAACATCAATGATAGCAGACACAAATAATTGTCTATTGCAAGCCCAACAATATCATCAATTGCTTGACTTATTCCAACGTGCTCCCTCCAGATGACGCGTGTTTCCTGACCCTCATGAGGGTTTGCAAGAGTCTCAGAAGGTCTAGGCCACCCACGGCACCCGACCCCACCCAGAAACCAAGACGACGGCGGGGGGGTTACAGTAGCTGGACGCTAGGTACCTGGGTTATTGGTGGACTGGTGCCCTTGTTGGAAGGTCCCTGGCGTCCATGCTTCCCCCCTCCCCTCCCCCGTCAGAGGATGGAAGGAGGATCCATGGGGTCATGGATCCATTATGCAGACGAGAGTTGATGATACGCCTCAGCCATTTCTCTTTCGGTGGGATCCTCTTCGTCGGGGCTTGCGTGTCTTGAGTCGATTGAGTTTGACATACCACCGTAGCATTGCAGATAAATGAATTGACTGCGTCGTCGTCTTCTTGTCATCCCATGCGTCGTCTACCGACTATTGCAACACCGTCTCCCAGGTACGGTCGGGCCCTCGCCCTGGATGCGCTGCATCGTGGATTAGCCTGCAGATAGGTCTAGGCCTGTCGAAGCCAACCTCTCGAGTGCTACAGTAGCGCCCTGCAACTCCAACTGCACAGCGGCAGCAAAGGCAACAACAGCTCGCCCAGCCTGCGCTATTTGTCTTGACTGACACCGACCGACGGATTGTCTGCCTGTGTGATTCGCGTCGCCGCAGCAGCGCATCGCATCGCATCACAGAAGCGGCACCATTTCATCACCGCCACCTCCTCCGCTCGCTCCAGCTCCATTCGGGAACGGAGCTACGCTACGTATATAACGACGGGTCATACCCTTGTCCGCATCCCGACACCGACGACCACCAAATCTCCCATGATTGCCCATCAATTGCGGCCGACTACGCAGCACCGAATCAATCGATTCCAAGCCTAGCCAGACCATCAGCTCTACCCTGACCGTTCGGTGCTCAGTGCCACCAAAAAGCCCCCCCCCCCCCCCCATCCTCCGTCCCGTTTTTCCCTGGCTCTCACTCGGCTAGTGCCCGCCGCACCTGGCTGTGAAACGTCGCCGCCCCTTTATTACCGCCCAGGAACGGTACGAGACACGTTCATCAGTTATTGCACTGCGCTACCATCTGCTGCTGGGTCTCTCCAATCTCCCCACACGAGGAAAGACGGGCCTACGCAGTGATACAGCATTCCGAACCGAGGACGAAAGGGGTATACCAAGACCGAAAAATTGAAGGGAAAACGGCAGCTTTTCTATTCAATCCTTACGGACTGGACTGAACCCTCCTCCTTCGATTACTCCTCCTTCGGTTTCAGCCCATCCTTCGTTTATCCCCATTGTGGACCGTTCTGGCCACTGCTGGCGTTGGCCCAAACTCCCACTTTGAACTTGCAGAGACGCCACGCCTCGTCCACCGAAACAAGGCCATTTCATTTACACTCATCAATCCCCGTTTTCCGCCTCTTTCACCTACTCCTCCGGGTTCCCTCAGTCTGCCTGCCTGCCTGCCTACGTTAGGTGGTTTCCACAGCTGCGCATACCCCAGTCCGCACCACGACAATCAATCTGCGCTCTGCTGGTCTGGGCCCCTTTCTCATTCCATAACTCTCTCTCATGTTTGCGTGCCTTGTGGTGTAAAGACGGCTCATCCTTTCTTTTTCCCGTCTACTTCGTGCCGTTTCAATTATTACAAGACCCAAGTCAAACAACTCATTTATGCCGGGTGCCGCCCGATAAAAGGCGACGACCGACGACCACCATGTCTCTCCCCGTCGCAATCCAATCCGCCGTCTTCTACATCCTCGCCTGTACACCATGCGCCAAGGTACGGCATGAACAAAAAACCCGCAAGCAGGCCAAGAAGGAGCGCCAGGAAAAGGCGAGACAAGAGGTCGAGGGGTCGCAACCGACAGCCTACCAGCATCCTGAACCGTTCAACACCAACCCGTACTGGCAGGAGGAGATTAGCATGGGACCCAGCTTACCCAAGAAGTCGGCCAGCAAGAACTCGAGCCAGCGCGGTCTCACCAGCTCCGGAGGCGACAGCAGCGTTGTGAGCATATCCGAACAGACGAATCCTGTATTAAGCCGGACACATGTGGGCGCCAGCACGTCGGTCATCGCAGAGGATGATGAGTTGTCAGACGACTGGAACCGAAGGCGAGGTTACCAACGCGAGGATGAGGAGCTATGGGGACAATGGTCAGGCCAAAAGTTGATGGATGCTATTTCCAAGGCGCGCGACTCTGCTGGAAGGTTGATCGAGTCCACACTCGGTCTCGAGAAGGAGGTGACGGAGCAGCAACGACACGATTTTTACTTCCCCAAGAACCCTCCCATCAACGAGTACCACCCACCCGTCGTCAGCAGCAAGATCCCGTCGCGTAACGCCCACCAATGGATGTTGCAGCCACCACCCCCGGCCAAGATCATGGAGGGCAAGGTTCCCGTGAGCCGCGCAGGCAGCTCAGGAAGCAAGTCAAGCGGCAGGACTCTGATCGGTGAAGATGTTCAGCTTGGTCGCCTGGTCCAGGAGAAGCTTGTTATGGAGAAGCTCAAGCGGGAGAACACCAACCCCACCGAAACCGAACTCATCGAATCCCTCTTCCTCACTCGAACGAATCGATCCCTCAGCATCCACCGCACACGAAGCCTCTCCTTCGATGCATCCGACGACTCTATGGACAACGGATTCGCAAAGAGGCGGTCACGACTACGACCCGTCATCGCTCCACCCGGACTCGATTCTTCGGACGATTCAGACTCTGACGCCCCGATTCCCTTTTCGCAAAGCGCCATGAGCTTGGGCACACGCCGCGCGCCTTCGTCCGCTGGCCACGCCGCCCAACGGCCAAAGCTTGAGACCATCATGAGCACGAGAAACAACAGTCGCCTATCCTCGAAGCGATCCAAGCGACAGAGGTCGACTCGATCAAAGAGGCTCTCGGGAGCCGCGTCCCCCGTCGGTGACGACAGCGACTAGACATGACTAGTAGCCTGCAACTGAATCAACCCTCCAAGCCATGGTTCTAAAGCCATGACAACCCCCCACACGACTTTCTTCAACACCGTCTCTCCCTGCTGGGCAATGATCCCTGGCATTCCCTCCCCCTCAGACACAATGTCTCACATTACTCCGTCTCCTTTCTTCCTCACCCCCCTCTGATTTTCTCTACACGTTTTCCCTTTTGGATTAGGCCTCTGTTGATATTGTTTCTTTCCTCTTTTTTGTCTATAAGCATTTTTTAGGGACAGGTCTGGAGTGGGAATAGGTCGCATAGCAAACAGGCGTTGGTATGGGCCATGCTTTTTCTCTTGTTTCTTCTTTTCTTGCAAAAAAAAAAGGGAGGCGATACATGGTTTTAATCGCCAACGGCGCAATCATCAATCAACTTGACCCCTCGCGTCTGATAGTACCGAGGGCATTCCTCAGCACCCTTTTTTTTATAGCTGAGATGTTGAAAAAAAATAACAAAATTGGATTCAAACATGAAGTTGTCCTGTCCTCGCTGTGACCGTGATGCATGCAAACCCCTGATTACGATGTCATTATCGCCTTGATAATGTCGGCTTCCTTTTTGGGTATTAACCGCCATGATGCTCCTCGTCTCCTGAACGCCGTTCACTTAGTCTTTTTCGTCGTTTTTCAGTCCTAGTCCTTTCCTTTACAGGTGCATGCCTCCCTCGTCGTCATCCGTCTCTAGGTTCCTCATTCGTTCCTCCAGTGCTCTTTGCAGCTGTTCGTCACTCAAGCTGCCACCCTCAGGCCGGCCTGCCTCGCGGTCCATATGAATTTCTCCATTTCGAATCGTGCCCGTTTGAAATGTGCCGTCGCTCCACGCCTCGTGGCGGCTCTCGGTTGGTGCTGAGGTTGCGGTAGCGGTCTCGCTGGGCTGTGTATCTCCGTTGACCTCGACGGTGGCTTTTTCGCCGTCGCCCTCCCCTCGCGAAGCTATTTCATCACGACTCTGGAACTCTGTCCAGCTGATCCCGCGTTCCTCGACCTCTGCGCGGATGAGGGCGATGCGCTCTGCCATACGGTCGATAACTACCTCGTTCTCCTTGATAGCGTCTATGCAGTCCTGATCGGGCTCTTGGGCGACGGCAGGGGTCGAAGAGTCGGAGAGCGCGGTGGCGTTTCCCTCGGCAAAGGGCTTGAGCTGGTCGTTGGAGTATTCTAGGTGTGCGATCGAGTTGCGAATCTCGAGGACCTTGAGGTGGAGCATCCCGACTGAGAGGTCCTTGAGGGCGGCGGCGAAGCGATCGGGAGCGATGGGGCGTGTATCGGCGGAGGTTGAGGTTGACATGATGGCGACTGTGTGTATGTCCCTGGTGAGATGGTCGTTATCCCTTGAGAGGAATCGACAAGCTCAAATGTTAGGTGGAAGCACGATATTGGAAGCTCCAAGTTAAAGATGCAAAGAGAACCGCGGGGCAGCTTAATCATGGTGGGGGTTTGCCAGGCTTCCGTGTGTCGGTACGTACCCCTCCGTCCCGGACGATCCCTGCCGGTCCGTCCGTCGTCCAAAATCCTCGGCCTCATGGATCCCAAAATTAATTCATGCACTAAAGACCCCCCCATCATACCATCATTGCTCCTCCCCCGCGTCTGGCTCTTCTGGTCCTCCCTCTTTCCTGAGCCACTGGCTCCCGTGAGCGCATCCTGCGCATCAATCTCTTCACAATGAGCCTCTTTGCCTGCTCCAATTCCTCCCGAGTCCTTCTGAGGTCCGTCCTCCGCGGCGTGGCCTCTAAAGCTTCGTCTTCAGCACCGCAGCCGTTTGCGACTACACGATGGATATCTGGATGCACATCCCGGAGTCGACAAGGTCTGTGCCTTTCTTCTTCGGATGCTAGGAGTCACAATGCGGCTTTTGTGACTCAATATCCCTCCTACGAGACCCGACGAACGCTCTTCTCCGACAGGACGATCCGGAAATATGAGGACCTACCAAAGGACTACAGAGACCAGGTCGGGCTACCGTTTAGAAATATAGATCTCAAAGATGGAGAGGTGCTCGGGGTTTTTGGAAAGGGTATCAATGCCAAGAGGGCCAACCATCTACTTCGCATACTTCATGGCCGCCGAGTCGCCGGCACCCTCGACGACCCGGCCTTTGCTCCCCACACGGCATCGTTTACCAAGGATCAAATCGAAAAGGCGCTGAAATACCTGCGAGAATCGGTTCCCGTGAACGAAGTGATCAATGCTGGTCTGCGCGCCGAGGACGAGCTTGCGCAGCTGGAACAAGAGATGGAGGCCGCAGAGAATGAGAAGCTTGCAAAGGAAGCCGCCAAGAAGGAAGAGGCCAAGCCCTCTGCTTCATCTTATACGCCTGACCCCGTCTACGGCCACAGCAAGTTTGACGAGATACGAGCGCGGAACGTCGCCAAGCGCAAGGCCCAGGAGGCTGCCGAGGAGGAGGAGCGCAAGGCGGCTGAAGCTAGGGGAGAAGTGGCTTCCGGTCCTCTCGCCAAGGTCGGCGAGCAGAAGGAACGCCAGATTTCGAACCCCCGCATCGCCGAGTACCACCGAAAGGCCCAATCCGACCTGGAGGCGCCCCCCGAGCTCAAGGCCTGGGAGCGCATCCTGCCCTCTGCTACCGTTGTTGCTCTCGTCATTGGTTTCCTTGCTGCGGTCGCCACAGTCTATGAGGAGCCTGACGCCAGATACCGTGTGTTCCCTGACATCTCGACAGCCCATGCGACACTGGGTGCCATCATTGCGATCAACGTGCTTGTCTGGGCCGGCTGGAAGTTCCCTCCTCTCTGGTCCATGTTCAACAAATACATGATCTTTGTTGTGGCAACTGTCAAGCCTGTTACCATGTTCACATCGCCCTTCTCTCACCAGAGGCTCAGCCATCTGTTCATCAACATGGCCCCCCTTTGGCTCATCGGCACCCTTGTCCATGACGAAGTCGGCCGTGCCAATTTCCTGGCCCTTTACCTGGGTTGCGGTGCCGTTGGCTTCCTTGGCAGCTTGGTGACATATACGCTTCGCGGTTGGCTGAGCATCACGTCGCTGGGTGCCTCGGGCGCTACCCTAGGCTTGTGCTCGGCATACTTCTGGGAGCATCGTGATGACGGCTTCAGGTTCTTTGGTCTCCCGGAGAACGGTGTGCACGGAATCGTGTTCCTGGCTCTCCTATTCGTGCCTCAGCTTGCGGCTTTTGGCAAGACGGCTAAGTTCAAGGTTGACATTGCGTCACACATTGTTGGCATGTTTGCGGGTATTTTGGGCATCGAATGCCTCAACCGCTCCAAGGAGAAGCGTGAGCGCAAGGTGATCGACATGTCTTCTGGGCAAGGTCAGACTGCAACCCCGTTGCAGTAAAAAGGGGAAAGTTTCTCGGGTGGCCGAGTAGATGGGGTGAAAGTGGACGAAGAGTTGTTTGAACCAATGTATTATACAGACCTTTTGGCATACCCTAGAATTACGTGTACGACTGGAATAACGCACTACTCTGACGAAGATACGGATACTTTGAAGAAGATTATGATTTTGCAACATCCTGTAGCATCCCCTGGGCTGTCACTTTAGATGGCGCGAAGTTGGCGCGTAGTACGCGCGCCTATCGCGCTAGATCTCGCGTGGGGCCTGCAAGAGATTCACGGTGGGGCCTGTGGGGCCCAAGGGGAGTTTAGACCCCGGACGATGATGCCAGAGTGTGGCGCGTCTCTCTGGCAACCAAAAGACATGACCGGATCACCATGGTCGACGCTTGCCGAGAATTGCGGGCTAGAGACGGTGTTTGTGGGCATGGGTTATTGTTGACAGGATGGTTTCATGCTGTCACGGAGTCGGTGTGGGCCACTAGTGTATGGGCCTGTGCTGTTGGTTTGCTGGGTTGGTTGTTTATGCAGTTCATCAAGTCTGTTTGCTTGTCAGTGCTAGAAGCAGTTTCTTTGTCGTAGCTTGAGCTGATATTAAAGGGCTGGAGTAGATATACACTCGAGGAGTTGACGAGGTTTCCTTCGACTCTTGGATAACTCAAAGGTTACCTTGGGTTACTCTGGTTACTGAGGGGTAGAGTTTCAACGGTGGGCTAACTGCGGAAACGGATGTGTATTACAAGTCCTCCAGGCAGTCCGTTTCTCGGCAAGTGCCCATGCGTGAATATCCCTCTCGTTTGGGTTCTCGTTTGGATTAAAGGGGAAAAGCACAACTTCCGAAATGAGGTTGAGCAGATCAAGCAGTTGTTTGCCCAGGAACTAATGCAAGCTTGCTCTGGTGATCAGGCACGTGATGTTGGACAACTCCTTGTTCTGGAACCATGAGAACTTGAAGAAGGTGGTACAAGCACCTGCAATGTGAGATGAAGACGCCGGTTAGATGCATCCATATTAAACCATCAAAGGCCTTTAATCTGCATAATAATAACTAAAGAACAAAGAAATTTCCTCGACTGAATTGACTGGCTGTGGTGTGAAGGCTTGGGTGACGTGTCAAAGGATAATGACTGGCTTTGTGAGATGGAAAATGGGGATGATGGAAAGACGAGATGAGCCAATTAGGGGGGACTGTGTCAGACAGAAGCACCAGCCACGATGCATGCAGCAGATGTGAATCATGGCCATGCCAGTCTCTCGGTAGGGAGGGACGGGATGGGCGTTTGCTAGACTCGGCGGTGTCCTCATGTTGCATGAGGTGAGTGTGTGGCATTTGGACGAATTTACGCCAGCCAGGCTAATTAGGAGAACACGACGGGATTAATTAATGATGCACAAAGATGGCGCAAAGCAGTGTCATCTGGTTCTTTCATCCGTATCTCGATGCGGGTCGTGTGCCTGCGTCATGTCCCAGACTTGTCAACCTCGACGTATCTGAATACTTGACGGCTCAGCACAAATCTGCCTACCAACAGTCAGCAATGACTGTGGCATTGACAAGCATCAGCTCACGCACCGCCTGAATCTCACTGTTGGCTGGGCTGGCCCTCACAACACAGGCCACACACGACGACAACGTAAACATCAACAACAAACCAACCAGAACCGGTCTTCAGCCACATACACCCCGGACCAGAGTGGAAGGTCGGCCCACCTAAACCCGCCGGTTCCTTTTTTTCTTCCCAGGGGCGGCCCAACTTTAACATCCCCACCACCACCACCAGAAACCTGAAAGTCCTTTGCCGCGATCCTGCGCAGGGCCTTTGGGTCTTTGGGCGCCTGTGGCTGGTGGGTTAGCGAAAACGCTAAACACACTCTTCTTGCTCCCAAGGCCCCGGGCTGTTTTCCGTACCTTGCTTGTTGCTGTTCCAGTTCCCATTCAACTGGTCAAGGCCCTGCAGACGCTGCTACAAGCTACTCCCCCCCCGAACCCGCTCTGCCGATCTGGAGCCGCCTCCGTTTACTCGGTTCTCAGTCACTCATTACCTTTACTTTCCCCCGAGATTTGCCTCTTTTCTTTCCCTCTCTTCTTCCAACTTTTGAATCAACACTCGCTCCTATTGTTCCCTTTTCAACGCACGGATAACCCGTTGAACCCATTTCTTTATTCCCCCGGTTCCCGCTCTAAAGACTCGACTGTTCAGCTCAGTTCAACCCACACAAAGGCTCACACACGACCCTCTTGCGACTTTTCCTTTTTTGCGCCATGAGGTAGAGTTGGAGCAAGCACGCACCTCCCTCGCGCCTTCTCCTTTAAACCTCGGCCTTCGCCTGCGCTCCTCGTTTTCTCACTTGTACACAATTCTCACAAGGAGCATCTACGGCTCGCCATGAGCACCTCAAGCCCGTTAACAGCCCTTTCCGACTCGGAGCAGTCGACACTCTCGTCGCCGCTCTCAAACCTCTCAAAAACGCCATCCCTGCCATCCTCGCCCGATATGCCTGTCGACCCGGCCAAGCGTTATCCCTCACCGACGTCCACCACCGTCTCAGGCATTCAGTCTCCCGTCAAGCTAGGCGAGCCCATCTTCGACCACGAGACCGTCAGCAAAGCTTTCGATGACTCGGCCGACGGTCCTCCGCCCGCCAAGAAGCGTCGAATTTCGCCCCCGAAAGAGCGCACCACCGAGTACCTGGACCTGATGAAGCCCGACGAGGAGTTTACGCCTGAGGACAATCGCCAAATGGAGAGGCTATTGACGGCGCTGCGCAAAAAGAAGAAGATTGTCGTCATTGCTGGCGCTGGTATTTCTGTTTCTGCTGGGATTCCCGACTTCCGTTCCGCCACGGGATTGTTCGCTACCGCCAAAAGCCAGCATAAACTCGCGGGATCCGGCAAGCACCTTTTCGATGCGTCAGTCTATAAGCACGATGCGACCACGCGGTCTTTTCATAACATGGTCCGGGAAATGGCCCAGATGACGCAGAGCGCAAAGCCCACCCCCTTTCACCACCTACTAGCGTCATTGGCTCAGGAAGGCCGTCTACTGCGCCTTTATTCGCAAAACATTGACTGTATCGACACGTCGATGAAACCTCTGGCTACAAATATTCCTCTTAACCCCAAAGGTCCATGGCCGGCTACGATTCAGCTGCACGGCAGCCTCGAAAAGATGGTCTGTACCAAGTGTGGCCAACTTCAACCCTTCGATGGCAGTGTTTTTGATGGTGCAGAGGCCCCACTTTGCGGCGCTTGTGTGGTTGATGATGAGGTTCGAACTGCCCATGCTGGAAAGCGAAGTCACGGTATCGGAAGGCTACGACCGCGATTTGTGCTCTACAACGAGTTTAATCCGGATGAAGAGGCCATCGGAAACGTGTCTCGCGCCGACCTCAAGGCACGACCTGACGCCGTCTTGGTCGTTGGTACAACATTGAAGATTCCCGGAACCCGCAGACTTGTCAAGGAATTGTGCCAGGTCGCTCGAGGTCGTCGAGATGGCATCACTGCTTGGATTAACCTGGACAGCGAACCGAAGGGCGTTGATTTGAAGAATTGCTGGGACATCGTGGTACGGTCTAAGTGCGACAACGTTGCTCGGCTCGCTGCATTGCCCCCTTGGGATTGTCCTGTTGGAGATGACTATGAGGTCTCTCAGGAAGAGCATCGCGAGAGCCAGGAGCGCCGCAGCAAGACGACATTCGCAGTCAACATTCCTGTGAATCCCGATACCGAGACAGAGCTTTCAGGAAAGCCGAAGCAGTTTGAGCAGGTGCAAGGAATTCCGACACCCAACGCGAGCCCCAAGATCTCGGCGGCTAAGAAGCCTGCAAAGACCAAGCAGAGCAAAATTTCATTCACGGGCAAAGCATCAACAAACGACAAGCCAAACAAGGTCACCAAGCCTCGCGGTCGCAAGCCGGGCAGGCGACCCCTCCCAGCCGATCCACCCAAGAAATCAGCCATGCAGAGCTTCAAGGCGGTCAAAAATGTCGCAGCTCAGGAAAAGACGACGAAAACTGGACCGAACGGACCGTCGAAACGGAATGTCCCGGCCAAGGCAGTGTCTGATGCCACCACCCTCCCCCCTCTACGCCCCGTGCGCAGGGTATCCCAGGAAAACTTTCTCTACAAGCACGAGTCGAGCGAGAGGGCGGACGATTCCAGCTCTGGCCCTCCTTCTTCGCCCACCATGGCGCCGTCGAGACGGGCGCCCGATACCATTTCTCCCAAGTCAGTTCCTGCGAGTCTGCGCAGACTTATTGATTAATTTTTCACACCCTGGTTTTTATGGAAAACAAAAAGGAACGGAGCAATGTCTTTTCTTTTCTTGTTCTTTGAACAATAGAATAGGGCCCTACAATATGGCTCACGTCATGTAACGTGGATTCTTTGGCATTGGTGGCGTATGGGAAGGGGAGGTTGGTCGGTTCGGTTGGTTGCAGATTATGAAGCACGCACGCTGCCACGGCTTGGAGCGAAGCGACTCGGGAGGCGGCGCATCTTATGTATTACTAGGAGATACATCATTCGTCACGCGGCTGGTTATTTGTTTTTGTTTTTGTTTGTTACGATCAAGGCCATGGAAAACCACGCCCGGTTCGGCCTTGGGGGGGAATAGAGGCGTTGCGGATCTGTCCATGCCATGAGCAAGACTCGGCAGACAGGGGTCATTATCATTTTAAGCCAAATACATAATAACTGTATTATACAATTCATAACATGAACCTCAATGAGCAATGATCAGAGCTTGCTTGCCAAGTGAGACTCGCTGTGAGAGTATTTGTTCGCAACTAACGACTAGAAATCGTATTCCTGGGTATCATCATCATCATGTGTAGTAGGAAAGTATCCTTCAGCGCCATGCCCTTCCCTTCGCAACCAAAGATGTCATCCTCGTTTCGCGATAATCCAGTCCGTTCAAAATCCACCTTGCTGCCCTTCCAACCACCGAATGCAAACATCATGGGTATCCCAATCACTGGATATACACCTCGAGCGTGTCCATGTCCTCAATCTCGGCCTCCTCCATTGTGACGTGCTCCTCGAGACGGTCGCCATCCCACCATAAGGCAACCTGCTTGTTCGGATCGACTTTGCGCTGGGCGCGGAAGCAGGTGATGAGCGTCTCAACCGTCGTCTCGGGTCGTATTGTCAACCCCAGATCCTCGAGGTCCCGCGACTTGAGCATCACCTTGAGCTTGATGTCGTCGGCAGGCTCCTCCTCTTGGTCCTCATCCTCCTCCGAGATATCGCCGGCTTCACGCCTCCGTCGGAGTTCCTCGTTGCGCTCCATTTCCTGGAACAGTTCAGGTGTCCACGCCTCCACATGCACGAGGGAACGGTTGTCCTCAAACCCTTCTGACCCCTGACCCTCTGCAATGACACGCCCGTCGCCCTGTGGTCGGATACCCAGGCTGAGAAGTGTAGATGTGTTGTAAATCTTCTTCTTGCGCCACGTCAAAATCACATCGTCGACCGGAATGGTCACGCCCGACTTGTTCTGGTAGCTTGACCAAGTCTCACGGGTGAGGCGGAAAGGCTTGTCAAAGAGGTACTTTAGCTTGAGCGGCCTGGTGCCCGGGACCTGGCTCGTTATGAGAATGTCGACGAATTCCTTCTTCGGCTTGCCATCCAGGCCCGTCTGGAGCAGCGCTTGATCCCTGTCGCGCCGCTCCTTGGCCTTGCGGACGTACTCTGCGAATTCGTCATCCTCTGGTGGCGGCGACGGTTCTTTTGGAGACTGCCTTGAAGAGGTGCGGTCCACGAGTTCCACGATGCTAGCACTGCGACGGGACGCTGGTACTGAGGTGGGTTTGAGGGAGACATCATCCGAGTCGGAGTCGGAATCTATCGAGATGACATTGGTAGGCGCCGGCGGGGGTTGAACCATCTTTGGCGCTCGACTCGGGGTACTCGGTTTCCTTTGAAAGGGAGTTGGCGATGCGTCTCGGAATGGTTCGTCGTCGTCTTCGTCGAGGTCCAGGGCGGGTATGGGTTTCTTGGAGGAAGAGCTGGAGCTGAGCCTTGATCGCTTCGAGGGTGGAGGGGTAACAAGTTCACTGCGAGGTTGTCAGTTGAAGCGCGCGATATTGTAGATATCATCGCTAACCTTGCGCGATCAGTTGTCTCCTGTGTCGCAGGTGGTTGTTCAGAGACCTGGCTGCTCCTTGGTCGGACAGGTGAAGATTGAGAACCAGCAACTTCGGGACCAATTTCATCACTGACAACGGGTTCGTCCTGATTCACAACCTCCTCTGAGTCCTCCCTTGGACGCTTCTGCGCAGCCTCTCTAGTGCGGCGGTCGACGTCCATCTGATGTTTCTGATGCCTCTTGAGGCGCCTCTCGCGGTCCGCGGCAACGATGGGCGCCATCTCCTTTGAGCGCCGGAATAGCGACAACCCATCATCATCGCTCTCCTTGACCTCTTCCTCCTTCTCTTCAGGCTGCGTAGGCATGGGTTTTGGCGCAGCGAAACGGCGCAGCGCGGTGGGTTTGAAGGGGAGCTTCTTCTTGACTATTGGCGGCGACGCCGCGCCTTTGTCCTCCATGATGGCCGAGTTGAGTGTCAGGTCAGTTCAGCGATTGATTGATAGTATGTAGTAGCAAAAAACAGGCCCTGAGCTCTGTTCATATAGTGCATCAGGGACGTTGGTCGAGGGAATTTGTCTCTTTCTTTGTGTGTGATGGCACAAACACGGATAGTAGCAGCACTTTACGCGCCTTGGAGTGGCGTAGGCCGTGGGCGGGATTGTTTGTGAGGTTGGCCAGGAGCCCAAAAGAAAAATAGCGAGCGAGGGGGGCCCGCTGAAATACCCCTCCAGGCGACCTTTCACCCTCTGTAACGGGGCGTTAGGGGACTTCACGGCGGGAGAGGGTGCGCCACAGTGCGAGAAGGCGGCGCACTCTCGACAACCTTAACAGCACGACGAGGCATCAATTCTTTGGTGTGGTTCCTCCCAAAACCAAACTCCACCAAAGACTATCAACCACAACATCCATCCATCTCCAACCTCCGCTCAACACCATGGAGAACGGCAACATTTCGCAGGGCGAGGGCAAGGACCCCTCCAGCTTCTTGAGTGACATCATCGGCAACCCCGTCACTGTCAAGCTCAACTCGGGCGTCGTCTACAAGGGTGAGTGTCTTCGCATCGACGTCCGCACATGTCTAGGGCAATAGTTGATGAGCAGAACAGGCGAGCTCCAGTCGGTGGATGGATACATGAACATTGCTTTGGAAAAGACTACCGAGTTTGTCAACGGACAGAAGCGCAGAGAGTACGGTGACGCCTTTGTGAGAGGAAACAACGGTGAGTATTCATTCTCTAGCCTTCATTGAGGCCATCGAGCTGACCACACCTATAGTTATGTACATTTCGGCAGACTCATGAACGCTTAATTCATAATGAAAACCTGATTGATCCTCATCCAAAAGACATGTGCCTATTCCCATTCAAGAACGCACAGCTCCCTCCAGACGTGTGGTCCATGCAAAGAACGTGCACCCATGGACCTCAATCTCGCCCTTGTCATTAAAAGTCCCATCGCCTTCCTTGACGATCTTGTCAAACTTTTCTCTAAAAACTCGCCTCTCTTCTCCCTCACGGATCGCATTCCAGCTAAGCGTGTTCACCCGGTCCCAGAGAGCCTCCGGAGTCAGCCACACCGACCACTTGATCTTTTGAGTCTCGATAGGCGTTGTGAAGAACGGCGACTCTGCTTGAGCCTGACGCTCAAACACCTTCTTCCAGAGCAAGTGCCGGAAGCGAGGCTCCTTGTCAGCCTTTTCGTTGAAGTTGAGCTCGCTCAGCTCGTGCTCCCATTGAGTGGATGGGGGCCAGCTCTCCGGGCGGTTGTCTTGAGGTTTCTGTCAGTCTCGGGAACTAATCCTGCAGCAGGATGTATCTTACAGTCTTCGGCATTCCAGATCAGACCAAGCTTGGTGCCGGGCTTGAGGACCCGGTGAATCTCTTGGAGAGCTTCTTCCTTGGCGAACCTTGGACTTGTTTAGAACCTCCACCCGAATATCTGCTGCTGATATCTTACCAGTGAAATGCCTGTGACGGTATTAGTTTGACTTTGGCTAAACTTCAAAGCATAGCTAGGAAACCTCAACGATATATAACTTACCTGAGCCACGATACACCCGTCCGCCCACGCATCCTCCACATCCTTCATCTCAGCCGCCGTCCCGCCTCGGACGTCCACATTGGGGAGTTTCTTCGCCGCTAGGTTGTACCGCATAGAGTCGAGAGGCTCTACGGCCACAATCTCGTACCCCTCGGGTCTCGCAGCCAGCAGCTCGGTGAACTTGCCGGTACCGGCCGCGAGGTCAAGGACCCTGCTACCAGGTTTACCCTCGAGCCCCAGGTGCCCAAGGAGACTACTGACAGACTCTGGAGGGTAAGAGGGTCGGTGCGTGTCATAAGACTGCGCATCGTTGAAGCCCTTGGTAGCAACATCATTAACAACTTGAGAAGCCATTTTGTGGAGATTTCTGTCTACAAATCACGCAATTTCAGTTCTAGTTTCTATTGGTCACTCTTCTGCTTGTCTGTAAAGGAGTCAGTACGTTAGAGAAGAGTGAAGAAGGAAAGAAAAAGAGAAATGACGTTGAACGGGGTCGTCGTCGCCTTTTATACCCAGAGCAAGTCGTTCGCTTCCCCGCGATGCGGACCCCTCGCCAAGGGGCAGCCTGAATGGTGCAATGGCACTTAGATCTGGTCTCCGACTGTGTCATCAGATCCGGAGCCTGAAACGGCCCGACGGATTTGCAGCGGACGACGATCCTTGTTAGAGATCGAGTGAGAGCAAGAGATCTCATGTCTTGAGCCATTCTCTGTTCTACAATATCAAATAAGGAGACACATCAAGAAGAACCAAGCATAGATTTGCTAACTTGTTGATGATCTGGGAAGCAGCCGTTTTTCTGACCTCGAAGCTTTTTGCAACTTTGTCTGGCCTGGGCTTGCCTTGTTAGGGGCAAGCCGCTGTTCAACCTGCTGGTGAAGCCTGTCGGTCTGGTAATGTGTAACGTCTGGTGCGCGCTCTGCTATGTCCGACCTGAAACCCGTCGGAAGGGCAACTCTTCCCCGCGTCGCTCTGGTTACGCCACTCCGAAGGCTCGCCTGCTCCGTGATACCGAGAACCAATTCGGATATCGAGTAATCCAGCTCTGAGCCGACAGCGGATACTTGACTCAAGGACCAAGTCGTTGGCGTTTGCGCGGGAGTGCCGAAAGGATCGCGGAGACCCGTCGATGTCGAAGTATCGCTCCTTCGCCAGTTTCTTTGGCGTCCTGAGCAGAGATGCTGATGAGGTGGTGTAGACAGGGGCTGAACTTGCTCAACCTGGCCCAGCTGTGTGTAGTGGTTGAAGGGCTCGACGGGTGAAATAGTGTCGTCTTGTTGGGGTCGATGAGTCGGGATACTATGAGACTCGATACTCGGATTCGAACATGTTTTGCCCAGTTCAATCATCCTGCCCTTTCCCTTTGACATTTCCACTCGATGGCCGACGAGCGTGGCCCCTGGGGTCTTATGGCTGGATTCGGGGGTATCAGGGCGCGAGATCCAGATACCTTCCACCTGTACGCCGTTCTGAATAGCACGAATGCCAAAAGGGATCTCGGGGGGTCGCATGTTCTCGATGCCGCAGTGCGACATGAGGGAAACCCGAGCGCGCTTCTCCTCATCGATGATTTCCAGGCGGCGCATAGCACGGTTCGTCCACCAAAGCTTGATGAGACCGACGGCAAAGACAAGGACGATACAGCAGCCGAGGACCTGGGGGGAAGTTCGACGGTTAGCGACAGTTCTCGGAGAGGTCTGCTAACAAAGAGGTGGCATGGTACTTGCAAAGGTCATTTCTTGCCAAAGCTCCCAGCCGACAAAGAAATCACTCATGATGATGCAGTAAGAGAAGGACCGTTGAGAAAGAGTGTGAAAGAAAGAAAGATTGAATATTGTTTTCAAGACATCGGATGGTGGTGGTTCCAAAATAGCGACAATCAGGTTCAAAAAAGCGACAGTGAAGGACAACCGGGTGCCTGATAGAAGGATGAGGGAGGGCTAAGGTAACGAAAAGATGAGGTCTTGGGGTAAACGATGTCGTTTAGGGATGGGCACGTGGTATCTCGATCGTCTTGATCATGGAAAGGAAGGAACCACGGGAGAGGCGAGGTAGGTATGTTGAAGTTGGCAGGACGAGCCTTCAGTTCTTGCCCCGCGCAGGGTCACTGCAAAGCTATGGGCAATGGATCATGGCGAACGGACATGTTCATGGACGAGCCGAACCGGTTTGTGGCTGATCAAACAGAGCAGAGACGTATGCGGTCGATGATGGATATAACAGAGGAATCTCGCTTGGTTGCTGGCGGTACAAGCTGAATACGAGACGAAGGCGCAAACCTGCATATGGGGAGGGATCTGATATTGGATCCAATGGCACCGTTGGATCGGTTTGAAGACCAGGACAGGGAGTGCGGGAACTAGCAAGTTTGCTCGTTTAGTTGAGGTTTCCACGACAGGGAGTATGTATGCGTTTGGATATTGGTGTTATTGATTGGTCTCGCATAGTCGTATTGCTGTTGACTGTCTTGACTACCTCAGGTACTATCAATCGATGCGTAGGCGTAGACTGTATAGGCCGAGCAGACTACTTTCAAGCCGCGATCAAGTAAAGCTAGCTATTGGGATTAAAGTAGGTGGTATTATACAGGAATAGAGAACCGCCATAGTTCGCTTCACCTTGAACACGGGCCAATGCCATCCATTGAAACATGTTTCGGGTGCTGGCATATGTACAAAGCAACAGTCGCAAAGCCACAAAAGCAAGAAGCGAACAGCAATCAAGCCCATGCCGTACCTGATGAGCCCCGTCAGTGGCCGGAAACTCACATCGGCCGGCGTTGCTGTTCTGAGCAAACAAGTCCCGATGCAAGAACGGGGGCCGCGGGTCGGACCCCGTGACCGGCGAGTCGATGGACGGATGGAGGTTGGGATCGATCCACCGGCTCGGATGGACCGGACTTTTCTTCTTTGGATGGAACATTTTCTTCTTTTTCCAAGGTGATTAGACCACCCCATGTTGATCTAGCCTTCCAAGTCGTCATCGACAAGAATGCCAAGGATATTCGGACCCAACATTGGTGATGGCCCAATACGGAACAGATGCGGCGCCGGATTAATTGAGGGGTGACGAAAGAATGGAGGCCACAGTCGGGGCATCGGTGTTGATCAGATGCCGTCGAGGGACGGCCGCCCCGAGGCTTGACCAGACAGAGACTGCGTAAAGTTCCAAGCTTGGCAGGTTTGGGGGTAAATCAAGTCCCTGAACCTGGGACCTGGCCCTAGGTCGATCTGATGCTGATGTGTGCTGGCGATGGATCCTGATGCTCGGCTGACATGCGTTTTCCGCGCCATGGCTGTGCAAATGCAAATGCTTGTCGAAGCTTTTTTACTCTGTTTGTGCTTGGTTCTGCCGCTCTTGTTGCCGCCGTCTCCTGATTTGTTGGCGTATTTCCTCCCTACATGCGCAATCGGTCCATTCTGCCTCTTGACTCGATACAGCCCAGGCTGTTCTGCATCGTTTCACACCCTCAGCAGAGACAAGTGCCACATCTGATTCTCGGTTTCTTCTTGTCCGTGCTCCCGTCCCCGTCCCCGGTCTCAACTGGGAATCAATTAAACGTGCCCCGACCCTCCCGTGCTCCTTGTCTTTAACTCTTGTTCCTGTCCGTTCCTGTTCCTGCCCCCGTTCATCTTCCGTCTCGTTCGTCGTCTCCTTCCCACTCGGAATCGGCGTATTCTTATTCTTGTACCGCCTCCGACTTTTAACCTTTTATCCTCCTCCAAACTCAACCTTTTGTAAACAACAAAAGCAAGCAAGCAAAAAACATCTCTTTCCAATAGAGATCATCCATCCATCCATCAACCATGCCTATCCGTAACCCCTTCGCCCGCCGCCCTGGCAGCATCGTCGTCCAGGATGAGAACCAGCGTCCTGATACCGCCCCCGGCTTTGAAAAGGTCGACACTGTCGGTTCCAAGGCCACTTCGGTCCTCAGCATCCGGAATACCAAGAACCAGGACACCGGCGAGTACAAGATGAGTGGTATGTCTTGACTGCCCGTTGCCCGATCATCCATCATCCCCCTCACCGCAGGGAGGGGGAATGAGACAGGCGGCGCAATCCGGCATTCAGTCACAAGACCAAGTTGGCTAATTCAAGTCTCGCGCAACAGTTGTCAATGATAGTGGCGTCTATCTTCCTGTAAGTCGATATTTCACTCGCCTTTTCTCACCAAATAAGCTGACCGCGAATAGCCATCCCCGACCGAGGAGAAAGGACAGTGGCCGCGCAAGTACCTTTCAACCCGCAACTCGACAGACACCCGCAGCAGCTTCGGCGATATTGAGCACTTCTCCATTTCCCGAGAGTCTTTCGATTCCTACCGCAGATCATTTGTGCGTGCTCTCCTCTCGTCCCTTCCCTGGTCCTTGCCTCGGGCACGGTCGCCCCCAATTGACCCTCGGTCCATTTCGCGACCGTTGGCGCTTGGCATTCACCCCAACCCCAACGTACGACTGGACTGAACTGAACTGACCCGATGATATTAGGACATTTCTGCGCGATCACCAGTGCCCAACGCAGACTTTCCCCCGCGCCAGAGTCTCGATTCTGCCCGCCTTCCTCGTCTCCCCAGATCGGCAGTCGAGCGATCTTTCCATCAACCGCCCACCGCCGAGGAGCGTTTCGAAGATGTTGGTCTAGACGACCACAAGCAGTCTCAGGCCCAGCCCCAAAAGCGCAGCTTCTTTTCCAAATTCTCCGAGTCCCGCGAAAAGGACACCACCTCGACCCAACCCGCCGTTTCCCGCTTCCTCATGCACGGCCGCAAGAGAGCTCAGAGTGGCCAGGGTTCAGAGCTCGGCTCCATGGACAACAACACGAACGGGCCGCCCAAGGTGACGGTCTCGTCCGAAGGCCAGGAGATGAAATGAGAAGAGAACCACGACCAAAGTTTCGCCCTTGTATGAATGTATTAGAGATACCTGGAGTTTTCGTTTTCTTTACCCCGGCGTTCACGGTAACCGGGTCAGGATCAGGGTCAGGCTAGAAACGCATTCGTTACGGATCCATTGGGTACAACTCGGTTAGAGGCCCGGGGACTCTCGCTCTGTTTGACTGGAAGTGGCTATTTGCGACTGATGCGGCATGATGAACTGCCCAAGATGAATTGTATGTGGCAAGGGCTATGTCCCAAAGAGAAGGAGGAAAATATGAGCTACATAATGGTAATGACAAGATTTATGCTCTACAGAGTATCTGCAGCTATGCGTTTCTGTGTTGTCCAGAGTGTTGTTAGAGTCATTGACTTGCAGCTGAACCATATACGGTATCAGCAGACCTTGACTAAAGTCTATTGGTTTCCTTGATGGACTAAACACCAAGCACGAGTGCAGTTGACAGCCTCATTCTCGTACCTGACAGCATCTCGCATCAATCTCGTCACAAAAGAAGACCAGATCCGATTCAAACCGCGGCTGCTAACCGCGGCCGATGACGGAGAGATAGAGAAGCCCATTACCCACCCTCCAGCAGATGTCAAATTCACCCACTGCTAATGGCGTGCTGTAATCGTTGGATAAGAGCCCCGCTCATGCTCCTCGGAGGGCGCGCGGTTAGCCAATGTCGAATTTGCGAGTCATCGTCACGAATTGTCGGGGTGACAAAAGGCTTCTTTTTCCTCCTCTCTTCTTAAACCTTTAAAAGCAGCCTCTTTCCCTCGTCTGCTAAACTCATTTGAGGCGGCGTATCTTGTCTTGTCAAATACAGCTTCTTCCTCTCAAACCACAAAGGTTGCCCCTCACCTCCACACCCACTCACTCGCGTCGGCTGCATCGGCTGCATCGGCTGCATCGGCTGCATCGGCTGCATCGGCTGCATCGGCTGCTTGTTCACTTGAACTTTGCAGAAGAAGAGAGACAGGTGTCTTAAACAAACAAAAAGAAAGAAGAAGGAAATAAGGAGGAAATAGAAGCAAAGATGGCTCCTGAAAAGACCACCAACGGCACAGACTCCGTCCCCGCTCCGGACGGCACCGCCGACGCCCGGGCCGGGCTCGAGAGCTCCGTCGCCGGACTGTCGCTCTCCTCCCGCGCCGTCCACGCCGACGACGGAATTCAGGCTCACCGGGCTGTTGCACCGGCGATGCACGTCAGCACAACTTTCCGCTATAGTGATGACCCGGAGCAGCTCAAGTCCTGGGACAACATTGACGTGAGTGCTCTCACCTTGACGATTCTTTGATCTGGTTGGTGTACTTGATCGACAAGTCGACTCAAGACCAAAGACCAAAGCAACAATCATAGAGTCCAACAGCCAATGCTAACTCACGTAGCCCAATGCTCCACTAGACTCTCATGTCTACTCCCGGGCTACCGGCCCCAACACGACCCGTCTCGAGGCCGTCCTCACCTCGCTGCTCGGTGCTCCCACCGTTACTTACTCTTCGGGCCTCTCGGCCTTCCACGCCATGCTCGTGCACCTCAACCCGAAGCGCATCGCTATTGGCGACGGCTACCACGGTTGCCATGGTGTTATTCGCATCCTCAACCGTCTCACAGGTCTTCAGCAGCTGCCTCTGGACTGTCCCGTCGAGGACCTCCAGCCCGGCGATGTCATCCATGTCGAGACACCTCTCAACCCGACCGGTGAGGCTCGCAACTTGGCTGCCTATGCCGAAAAGGCCAAGAAGGCTGGCGCCTATCTCACTGTCGATGCGACCTTTGCGCCGCCGCCCCTGCAGGACCCCTTCAAGTATGATGTTGACGTAGTGATGCACAGCGGCACAAAGTACTTTGGCGGTCACTCAGATATGCTGTGCGGTACCCTGTCCGTGAACCCCAAGCACAAGGACTGGCCCAGGGCCCTCATCGAGGACCGTCTCATTCTCGGTTCTGTCATGGGTAGCTTGGAGGGTTGGTTGGGTATTCGCTCCCTGCGCACCCTCGAGCTGCGAGTCCTCCGCCAGAGCGAGACAGCAACTGCGCTGGTGGCTTGGCTCGCTGAACAGAAGAAAGACGCTTCATCCGCGGTGGGCACTCTCGTGGAACTCATCCAGCACGCGAGTCTTCAACCTGAGGCGGCCGTTGAAGGCAGCTGGCTACGAGAGCAGATGCCCAACGGCTATGGCCCCGTCTTCTCGCTTTACTTGAGCGATGGTGAGGTTGCCAAGCGACTCCCCAACAAGCTGCGACTATTCCATCACGCTACCAGTCTAGGTGGTGTCGAGAGTCTGATCGAGTGGCGAGCCATGACAGATCCCAATGTTGATAAGCGACTGTTGCGGGTTAGCATCGGCGTCGAGGGCCTGGAGGACCTCAAACAGGATCTTCTCCAAGGTCTGGAAGCCCTGAGGAAGGAAAGGGGAGGCCAGTAGGGGAAGCAAAGTATAGATGGACCAGGTTACTAGAGCGATTCAGAGACGTTAGAAACGGAACAAGACATCAGTCCAGACACGGATGGAGAAAGAATTGATCTTTGAATAACAAAAGAAAGAAAGAAAGAAAAAAGACCAATGACAAAGATCCCCCTCTAATCTATGATGGAAGCCGACAGAACGAGTGGCCGGAGAATGAAGCGAATGTAGAAAAAGGATCAGGAATTCTCGAGAACTGAGAATTCCCGACAAGAGGAGAAGAAGAGAAAGAAAGAGAGACCCAGGAAATCTATACCAACAAAAAGCCAGACCAGAAAGAAACACTCAAGACACTGGTCTTCTAAGCGAGTGTGAAGCAGCTTTTTCCCCAATAATGAACGCCGAAAACCCATGGTTATCCGTAAACCCCCCAAGTCCACCACGGCCCCAAAGTGAAAAGTGGGAAGCGAGAGAATAGAAGAAGAAGTAGAAGAGAGAAGAAGTAGAGAAAAAAGGAATCGTAAATCTTGACAGATGAAATGCGCCATACCCGTGTATCTGTGTTTTTTGTTGTTCTTGGTGTTTTCATGTAAAGTGAAGTAGTGACGTTATGAATGAATCGTTAAGTGAGTGTGTGTCATGATCACTCGGGAGGAGGGAGCCAGAGGCCATGCCAGCTGCTCAGCGGCTTGTACTTGACTTTCCGTCTATTGTTCGTGTTAGTGCTGATATGTGATATCCCGTGCTGGAAACATACCGAGAGCTATCTGTGCTTGCAAATGCCCCAATCCCGCGCAGGTCTTGGTCTTCAGATTGATGGTAGTCAGTCTGACGGTAGTCGACGGTGCGGTAATCCATGGTCCGAGGTGCAGGGTCTCGGGATGAAGAGGGAACGCCGTTGTCATAAGGTCGGTAAGGTACTGAGTTTCTTGAAGGGGGAGCCAGGTAGTCATTTGTCGTAGCGTGCATCTGATAGTAATCACCAGTTCGAGATGTAAAGGTTGCAGAGTCGCTAATGGCAGGAGATGTTGTGGGAGTCGTAAAGTCCGAAGCGGCATCCGTAGCCATGGTGGGCTCCTGGGGATGCTGCTGAAACTGCTGCTGGCCGAGCCATTGATTGACCATGTTTTGCCGTCTATCGTACGTATTCGGGCTTATCCTTCTCCTCGACGAGGTCTGGTCTGGTGGTGATGATACTGCAGAGGCCTGCTGGAAGCTCGAGTCCCAGCTGCCCCGGACTGCCTCGTCGCTCCACTGCCGGGAGCTCTCCGAAGAGCGGTGGTAGTTGTTGTTGTAGTCTTGTCGGCGATCCATGACTGCCGTCAAGGAATGAGTTATATGAATGGATGCTGTAAGCGATAGTTCGCGGGTTGAGTGCTGATGATTGCTGTGATGATCTGGGAGTTGCTAGTAGTGAGTTGTCGTAGATGATATACGAAACAAAGTGTAGTTGTAAACACACAATGACACGAATGATGATGCATCTTCAACACCACGCCTGGGATCGTCATATTTATCAAGTCCATGACTGCACGCAGTTTCTCTGTCCCTGGCATGTCTAGTGACGGTATCCATCCTCACCCGCTCCCTGTCCAAGCTCGCGCCCCATCAGCACCTGTGGCTGGAGCTGCTATTTCCTGCGGGGACTCCGGGAGGCCTTTGACGCGGCCAATCAGAGGGCTGGGCCTGACAAGAAAAGTGTGGCCGTGCTATTATGATATGTAGCGACTGGGATCGACCCCGGCACCATGCCGAGGCGCCTGTCAGCTGCGTTTCCAGAATAGGCATAGAAGCATTGTTTTTTTGGTTGCGAGAAGCGACAGGGCAAGGGTCTGGTGAAGGGTCATTCCCCGCAGGCCGCCCATCAGAACCCAACGAAACGTCTGAGACGACAAGAGATGGTCCGCAGCATATGCGTTTGAACCGCTTGTATCATAGGGCAGACCAATAGGAGATTAATTATCGCCCGCCATCGTCTTAATCGATCATCGCTTGAGCAAAAGCTTGGCCTCTATGCCACTATTCTATACCAAGCCTAGTCTGAGGGAGCCCATCGATTCACCATGCACATCACCGTCATGATGTAGATGGGATGAAAATTTTTGACTAGACGCCGGCTTTCTCGGAGGCCAGGTTCCTCACGAGGACTAAACCTGAGTAAATTGGGCATGTTTGCGAAAGTAGAGGCTTTGGAATTTGATCGTGCCACTAAGCACGACGGCATCTTATCCATCCGATGCAAGACACTCTCTGTTTCACCATAAGCTGATCATGATGAATGCCCATAAAGTTTCAGAGGCAAAACATCTTTCTGACTCTATGAACTATGTCCTGAGCAAACAATCACGTTCAGTGACATCCCATAACCTGCCGCCCATCCATCCTGTCTCCAGATCTCGATGCCCGCATGCAAGAGGCAACTCCACCTCGCGCAAAATGATTCCAAAACAAGCGCCCCTGACGGGAACCAACATTAGCCCAGCCATCCCGAGCACCAAAACACCAGCCACGGCGCGGCAGATCGAAGCCAATTCACCAGAACACCACGATCGCCTAACGTCCCAATAATCTGCCTTGCAAGGTGTGGCGTAAGCGCGGGTGCCCCACTAGCCGATCTCTGGGAGCCGAGCTAACCGGGGTCGGTTTGTGCCATTTTTGGGCCGTCGCGCCTCAATTACTCGCCAATCTGGCAGGGGTGGCAGGTGGGTTCCGTGGCGCCTCCCTGTGCCACTGGGCAATGCGCGTCTGAGCCCAGTGCACGGGCCTGATTCGGAGCCCTCCGAGCATGGAATCATTGTTTCCATGGTTATGTTTGATTGAAAGTATTATCAGAGAAACATTCAAACGGCAGTCCTGTTTCTTTCAGTATGAGCAATTTTATTTTGGTGTAGTTTATTGAGTTGACATTACATGGATAATCATATCATTATGGTATTTATAGAGCTTCCTAAAGAGCCCAGCAAGTCAAAAACACACAGAAACATCCCAGCGGACAATGCAGCCAAAATTGTCCCATGTATTTTTGGCCCCACAGGGAAGCCACATTTTCGCGCTTGGCAGCACAGACCCAGGGGAGACCCCCACTACTGCGTCTCGCTTGACTGGCCAAGACAGACGCCGTGCATAAGCGCAAGCAGGTACAAGCGACGTGCATGCGGCTCCACTTACCTGACACATCCGCAGCCAACATGGCGCATCCCTTTTCTCACCTCTTTCCATCTCCCCTCCACTACACCACGCTCGAGGCTCAACTTGCATCTCCAGCAACAGCCTCCCTCCCATACCGACGCCTCAGGGAGGAGCATGCGCGGGCTACACATTCACGTGTGTGGGTCCTCCGGCTGCCGCAACTCTTGCTAGATGCCCCAATGGTCCGACTCTCCCTCTTCCGCCTGCCCACCAAGCTCCGGCGAAGGGTTAGGCGCAACCGCATGGCGACCCTCATCGCACTCATCGTCCTCGTAGGCCTCCTGGTCTTTCCCTTCTACTCGGCGTACTGCATCTACAAGCCTCCGCGCTTCCTCATCGGCTGGCTGCGCAGGAAATATCCCGACGTTCTCTTCGAGGAGACGACCGACCAAAAGATTATCGCTCTATCCATCGACGATGCGCCCTCCGCACACACGGACGAGATTATGCAGGTTCTACAGGAGAACGATGCACACGCCACCTTCTTTGTCATAGGGTCCCAGGTCGAGGGTCGCAAGGATAAACTGGTCAAACTGGTCAAGAACGGCCACGAGCTGGGCAACCACGCCATGCATGATGAGCCTTCGAGGTCACTCAGCAATGAACAGCTACTGAAGGAGGTTCACATGGTCAAGGAGATGTTGACAGAGGCGTATGCGGCCAATGGAAAGATCCTCAACAACAACTACTTCCGTCCCGGCTCGGGGCTGTTCAATTGGCGGATGCGTGATGTGCTGGGAAACCAGGGCTTTCGCATAACACTGGGGAGTGTTTACCCACACGACCCCCAGATTCCTTACCCCGACACCAACGCCAAACACATCTTGAGCATGGCTCATCCAGGTGCTATCATCATCTGCCATGATAGAAGATCGTGGACACTGCCCATGCTGCGTATCGTTCTTCCCGAGCTTAAGCGGCAAGGGTACAAGATTGTCACCATCACAGAGCTCGTGAAATCCGTGTCGTCACAGAACCTGATGCAGTGAGATTTTGTCTGCTGAGAGGCGTATCTGACCTTGAATAAAGCATAATGATGTTGGGACTTGGTATATAGAAGACTGTAAAGATTGCTGCGATATGCATGGAACACCCGGAGTTGTTAATGGAGGAGGCAGCATTTCATGGATTTGTTTGTATATGAGCAATGAGATTATGGCGTACTCAAAGAATAATCTCTAATGACCCATCTTGTTGGACGAGCTTGGCAATCTTGTATCTGGGTGAAGTCAGCCTGCAATATGTTAGCACATCTGGTTCAAGATCGGATGAGGAACACAAACGTAAACTCCAAAGTGCCCGTAACAGTTGCACGGCACCCATCAATATACCTCCTGACCAGACCTGCCAAGTCCTCGTCAGGTCCTGCCATCTGAAGTAGTCTTTCTGATGCCTCATCGAACTCCTTTACTGCTGTCTTCATCCTCTGCTCCAATTGTGCCACGATCTCATCCAGGCTTACCCCCGGCTCAACGAGCGCCGAAACAGCGTTGATAACACAGTCAGTTCGTAGCTCCTTTTTGAGCGAGAGCACATCGTTCAAGAGGCTGAGAAGGATGCAAGCCTGTAGCCACATCCGGCCGATCTCGGGTGCTGAGGCCAGAGCTGCCGGCAATGGCTCATTTGTGGCATACGGGACGAGACTGCAGAGCATTGTGCCGCCGACGGTGGCCACCCGTAGGTCCATGTAGGAATTAAAATCGGGAATGCGACGTTCTAAGCGGAGCTTTTGTTCTGTGGCGCATGCAGTGATGAAGGCCCGGATCTCGTAGTGTAAGCGGCGACGTTGGTCGACTAGTGCTGTTTCGCAGAAGCGTGACCCAAACTGTTGGAACACGCGGTTGATGGGATCGTCCTCGTATGCTGCTTCTTTAGCATGCGTATTCGTCCCATCGACTTCCAAAGCCCTCCGAATCATGTCAAGCGTCTGACATCTCCACCGTTCAGCCCGAGCAAAGTCGGCAGCCAGGTCCCCCTCGTTTGCATCTACGGCGTCGTCCCAGCAAACCAGCCAAGCCGTGTACAGCGCCAGGGCCTCGAGCTGCGTCTTGCGAGCCTGGGGGTACCAGAAAGCTGTCAGACGGTCGATGCCGTCCCGTTTCCGGCTAGCAATGAGCGGGTACGTCACTGCCATGTGGTCGATGGCGTTGTCGACAATGGGCGTAATGTGCGCGTGGTGGCGGTTGAGATGGGCACGAGGCCATGAGCGGAAGACGGCTCTGAGGTCTGGTATTTTGAGGGTCTGGCCGCGGAGGGCGGCCACTATGGCTGCTTGGCTGAGGCGGCTTGGCTTCATTGTGAGAGCTGCAAGATGGCTTGTCGAGGTGGTTTGGAGGAGGGAAATGGGTCGTGTTCCAACCCTACGTGTAAGATGACCATGTTAACAAATCACACCAGGAATTGAAGGTAGTCTTGAGTTCAATATTCTGCGCCATTGATATCGCAATTCCCTTTTTCCAAGAGAGCGGTTAATCCCGTAAACCGTCATCAGTCTCTTGACGACAATTGCGCCTCGTTCTCGAAAGGAGACGAGAACACCATCCATCATTCCCGGACAGCACCACCCGGATTGTCGGGACCCATTCCTCTGTTCAAGCCCCTAGTCTAAAATAAACTCGTTTCGAATTTTCCATATTAAAAAAGTCTAACCGGGAAAAAAGGCGTCTTCTTTTTCGAAGAATCCAAACGCCATGGCTGACAAAAAATCCACAAGTTGAATTCCAGTCCATGACCCTTTTTTTTTTTTTTTCAACAACGGGTGACGACGACGACGACAACTAGCTGAAACCGCTTAATAGCACCAACCGCATATTGGTTTAATTTGAGTGCCGGTTTCTAGTAAACGAGACGTGTTTCCGATCCTGCAGTGTTCCTTGCGGGATGACAAGGGGGGGGGTTAAAGGGGAGGGCGGACGAAGGATCTATTTGCAGATGCACCGCATAACATCTCCTGAGTGATAGGCCGTTTCAAGGTGTTTCATGGCACAAATGCATGCACGTTGGCAGAGTAATCAATGAATTGGATCATGGGCAATCCTTCACGATTCGGGAATCGGTAATGAGAGAAAGTAATGTCAAGTGAAATGAAATGCTGCCGTGTATGGCGTGAGAGAGAGCGGTACTGTATCCACATCATAAGATACACATCATGAACAAGTCGATCAAAAAGAAAAAAAGAGGTATTCCCATTCCCGTTTCAACGCCCATCGCCGACTCCAGCCAGGGAATAGTGCCTAGCCAAGCGTCGGTCACAATCAATGGTATTCCATCCATCATTCCCAATCCTTCCCTTCCCTTCCTTTCCTTTCCTCCAAAAGCCCAACACATGAAAGGTAGACCAGACATAAAAAAAGGAAATTTTTCAAGGGAGAGAGTAAATGTCGCTGTATACAGCGCCCGAGTTATGTACCTTGCTCATCCATCCACCATTCGTCCTGCCCAGGACTTTTTGTTGTTGCGCCCCGCACCCTCTTCGTGGTCGTAAGATTTCTATCAAATATGTACAGCCGAATAGAGAAACCGGCATGCCGGTGGTGAGTTGTGGGTTATCTAGATCCATAGGGGTGTTGTTGGCTTGGCGTGTGACACCTCTGGGAAGAAACTGGACAGGAGACTTTGGACATCGCCCAGGTAGTCTTCGGCGGTGAATTTGTGGAGGCCATTGGACTTGATGTATTTCGAATCCTCATCGTCGTCCTTGCTGTTTGATGTCTTGGCGCTGTACTCCTCGGCGAGCTCAGTCACCTGCGCTAGCTCTTGACCGAACGGGTGTGAGTCCTTGAGAGGAGTTCGCTGCTGGAATGAGGGCGGAGGAGCTGGGGCGGCCACCGGCGCGGGTGCGGGCTTTGCTGCAGGCTTCTGGGTCTGGCCGGCTGAGGCGTAAGAGGCTGATGAGGCTCGGGTCGAGGTGGAGGATGATCGTGAGAAGGAGAAGCTGGCCTTGGTCGACACGGAGTGCTCAGAATCCTTAGACATACGCGAGACGGATCGTTGGCGGGCAATGGCCTCGTATGAGTTCTGCTTGGTGTGAGAGGGCGATCGCTTAGGGATGGCGGGAGCTTCAGCGATCTTGGGCAGTGCCACGACGGGCTTGTCTGAGACCATGAAGTAGGTTGACAGGTGATTCGGCTCGGGGCCAGGGCAATCCTCCACAGGCGAGACATCGGGGCTTGTCGGCGGTGTCGATTCGGCAGTCGAGGGCGCCTCAGAGTCTTCAGATCGGAGAGAAGACTTGCTGCGGAGGGCTTGCGGGATGTCGGGGGCGTTGTAGGAGAGCATGTTTGTGGTGTGAATGAGCTGGATGGGGCCAGAGATCTTGTGGCGCAGAATCGGGAGGTGGTGTCGGTCGCGGGCCGAGTTGCTGCGCTGGGGCGACTTGGTCATGTCGAGAAGATCATGATGCCCGCTGAGCTTGTTCTTGCGGGTGGTGAAGGCGCGAGAAAGCGACATTTTGAAAATTTTCAACGGTTATTCCTTGACTTGTCTGTTGCGAAATTCGGCGGTTTGGCGGGCTATATGCAACTTGGAGGTGCTGGTGGTGAGGCAGGTTGCATCCAATGTGAATTAATTTTGAGGCGTCTTGTGATGGAGGGATGCTCGAGCGTAGTTGCACTGACTCAAGATAGCAGAGACAGGCTACAATTTTGCAGTAAATCTTTGCCAGCAGGTGCCAGTTGAGTGAGGTTTGCGAGTGAGTCGTGCGAGGGTGTATTTGGTTTGGTTTGTTTGTTGGATATGTAGTGAGACAAGGAGTCCAGTCCTTGAGCGTAAGAGTTCCAACTTCTAGAGCAGGATTGCGACGTCTAGTTGCGGGTTTCCGAAAAAGGGAGAGTGGTTTAGCTTTGACACTGTCTTTGCAGTGATAGCGGCTAGTTTGCACTGGTTTTAAATGAACGTTCAACGTCGAAACGGTGTGTATCGGTCGGTATCCGGGAGGGTTCGATCGATCCTGCGACGGGGATATACCGAGGAGTGAAAAAAGGTGGGCGAAACAAGTCGTCCAATGGGAGTGATAAAGAGAGAATGATATAAATCAAGCGCACTGGGAGGCGGACACGACCGGAGAGAGTGGCGATCGTGAATCGGCGGACGCTTTCAAAAAGAATCGAAGATACAAACGAGGCCTTTCGACGCAGCAAGGAGAGGCGATGCGAGCGATGCGTTTGGAGGATGGAAGGGAGAGAAAAGAGAGAGGATCAAATGTGGACGCGGGGACGGGGGGACGAAACAAAAGATATGGATCCCAAGCACCATTTCCTTTTTCAGTGTCGACGGAGGTGACTTGCTCAGTCGATGGGACTCAAGGCTTGACTCTCTCTCCCAACTTGCAACGGCCAGGCCGCCCCTTGGAGGCTTTTAATCCAGGGGCCCCTGTCCCTGTCCCCTGCCCGCATGCGAGCCCTCGTTGGCCGAAGGACTTCCCACCCATGCCGACGCCCCTGGCTAAGGCTCCGAGAAAGCAACACATCCTGGCTCCGCGCCAACGTGGGTTTTCCAAGGCGAGTGGAACAAATGCAGGCCTTCTATCCAATGGCATGTTATCTCTCGTACCCTCCCTGGTCTTTGATCCACTGAAGTGGCTTTCCGCCGGCTCCTCCTTCTCCTCTCCTAGGGCGAGAGGGAGAAAAAGCCCGCGGCCGGCGCCAACAGAAAACCAGCTGATGTCTCTTCCCAGCTGTGAATGGCAAGATTGGTGGCCCGACTGGATTATTCAGTGCAGGGACGGTATCGGTATCTCTTTGTTTCTTTGTGCCACCCTCGGCAATGCATCAGCTGTAAATCGTTGCAAAACAATACATGTGTGTGTGTGTGTGAATCCATAATCTATTGCCGTGGTAGACGCGCTTCAACTTACAGACTCAAAAGACGGAAGCACAACGACATGCACTTTACTGCACCATGCGGCCCATCGTGGTCCCACCGCGTCTTTTTCGTCCTTCTTTCCAATTTTCTTCTTTTTGCCTCCCTCGTTGGGCTTTGCTTTGTCCCCTCTCTCGCCATTTTGGGTCCGGTCCGTCTGTCCCAAGTTGGCTTTGTGCTAGGTTGTGCTGTGCAGATTGGATGCGGCCTTTTGTTCAACCCTCCCCCCTCCATCAACAACAGTCACGTTTTTTCGACGTTGGGGACGCGAAACTCCCCCACCAGGAACCCTACTCTCCCATTCACCGTTCAATACAACCCTCCAGCATCACCCACCATCTCTTGCACATAAACCATCCCACCACTCACTGACTTGCACCGACCCGCGCGCTACGCCAACCCAACCAGTCGCCAACGTTGGAGCGGGCCTGAAGAAGGAACAAGAGTCCATCTACCGAGTCACATCCGTTGGCCCAAATTCACCAGGGATGAATGCAACCTGCAAGCACTCAACTGCAGTCGACGCCCAACTCTCTTTGACAGCTTGGCTCACCGGACGCAAGATGCACTGTACTGTAGGTTGACGCGTTCGAGCGGTGATGAGTTGTCCTTGCTCTAGCCCAGCTGGCCAGCGCACAACCCTACGATACGCACCCGCAAACGTTTGTCTTTCCATGGGCTGCGTCCTGATTTCTGCTTCCAGCGACCCACTAGCTGGCTTCTGGCCTGATCAAGCCCGCAACTCAATTACTGGCTAAAGATTTGAGCATGCCATCCCATCGTCTCCGGATGGGATGAACCGTCTGGGCTGTGTGCGCGGGCGCGTCTTCCGCCACGAAGCCACGCCGCGCCCCGATCATCTAGGATACCCCGTTCATTAAGGAACCTGGGTCTATCCATTAAGGAACTCACCTCACACCCAAGAACCAAGCAAGACGAACCGTGACATGGCCTCGTCGGGGAGAGATTGAGGCGTCCCTCAGGGCCGTCACGGCACAGGGCCTCTCCAGGCCGTGGTTGGCCCCTTCTCCAGCTGCTCGTCCACGTTCTCTCCACACTCGCTCAAGGCCCAGGTTCGCCTCCATCGGGGTCATGGCTGATCCCGCTCGAGAAACAGCCGTCCCTCGCTCATTGGATCCTTGTCTCGACGCCTCGAGCGCCCTTACCGTCCCTCCTGTTTCAGGCCCCTGGACACGTCCCCTTGTGCCTGCGCAAGCGGGCCCGGCTAGGCGACAGCTGGAGACCTGGGAAGCGATCCGGACGTGACGAGATGCAAGAACACGCACGACTAAAGAGCATGATAGACCAGTTCATCATCACTCATCACTCATTAGACCTTGACGCCAACGCCTACGCACTAAGGATACTCGATAAACAACACAAGGTCACATTACAGTTCCTCCCAAACCCCTGCTTCGCGCCCGTCTCCTTTGGGCAGGGATGCCTTAATATGAGAGGAGAGGAGACAAGAGGCCATCAGCCGGAGGAGGCCCCTGCTCGTGGTATTTTTGGTTGGACGATCCTCCGCTGTCGATTAACGAACGTCAAGAAGGGTCACAGCTTCAACCACCACATTCACTGTCTTGGAACTCATCATGCACCACCGTCATCCCAGCACGGCCATGCCATGCAGGTACCAGACCTTGGCACAAGCTCTCTCACTCTCATGATCTTGTGGTGCAGCACACAAGGACTCATTTGCAAGGCAAATTACACAACCTACTTTTGATAGTACAAGTGTCTGTGAGCGTACGATGAGTTGCGCCAAGTGCCACCGGCTTATTTTGTGCGCCTTTGACGCAATCGGGTCCGATCTTTAATGAGTCGACCCATCCACAAGAGCATCATGATCAATTGCTCAATCACGGCACGGAACAGTTTTGCACGGCTTCTCGGTCTTGTGTGCATAGGTTCACTTGATTCAGCCTTGTCCTGCAGGGGCAAATCCTATGCTATGCGCTTCGCCCCGTTGACCCAAAACGGGCTGTGATGTTTGAGGATGTTGCTTTTCCGTTCCCGTTTGCCTAATCTATCTAGTCCACGTTGTATTCATCCAATCCTCCCGCTGTGAAACAGTCCTTGTACGCCGGTGTGTTTCCTCCAAGCTCGTTGTTTATGGGAGTCCCCAATCGAGCAAGACATGGCTTCGATATGGGCCAGAGACATTGTCCACTAGGGTCGCCATAAGGGTCGAGTGAGACATGATTCCAATCCAGATCGGGGATATCGGTTTCTTCTCTTCCTGATTCACCTCTTCGGCATGGCCGGATTCTCGATTAATCCTCATCCATCGAATCATCACCCTCCTTCTCATCTCCCTCATCGTCGCTCGAGCTGTCATCGTCCTTGTTCACACCAACTAGGCGGTCCTCAGACTTGTCGCTCTGCTCCGGCACCCGCTGAGCAAAGGCCTTGCGCACCGACGCATTGGTGCTGGTATCCCACACGTGCATTGTACCCTTACTACCGGCGACGGCGAGACGGAACGCAACCTCCGGATCGGGAGCGAACGTGGTGGAAAAGACTTTTCCGACATCGAGGTTGCGCGAGACCACGACCGACGGCCCAGTCGGCTGGATGTTCCACAACTTGACCGTCTTGTCGGTCGAGCCGGTGGCCATGTACCCGGGCACCACGGGGTTGATGTCGAACGACGACACCGACTCGTCGTGGGCCTGCAGCGTCCAGACCGCCTTGGTGTGCGTCGGGTCGGACGGCGCATTTCGGATGTCGTGGTAGTGGATGACACCGTTCTCGGTCGAGACGAAGAAGAAGTTGGGGTCGTGGGGATCCCACCGCACGTTCTCGACGTCGCTCTCGACTCCCCATCGGGGTGCCTTTGCGTCCGGCGCACGCATATCGGCTGCCACCACGGTGCGGTCGTAGCTACCGCTCAGCAAAACGGTCGCCTCAGTCGCGTGCCACGCCAGTGAGCACACCTTGTCAGTGTGGTAGGTGTACGACTTGGCGCACTTTGTAGTGTTGAGATCCCACAGCTTAACCGTCTTGTCGGCCGAGGCAGAGGCCAGCAGGTTGCGGTGCTGTCGGTTGGCGGCCAGTGAGAGGACGGCGTCGACGTGGAACTGGTCATTGGCCTTCTTGGACTTCTTCTTCTTCTTCTTGAGCTTCTTCTCCTCCTCGGGGTTGCCTCCCTGGCCGAGGATGGCGTTGGGGTACATGCAGTCGATGGTGTCGAGGTCCCAGATCTCGATATCCGGGTCCATGGTACCGACCGCCACAAAGTTACCCGTCGCATCCTTCTCCGCGTCGGGCTTGTTAACCGGCATGTCAAACCACTCGACGCACAGCGGGATGGCGGGGAGCATGATGTCGTGGTGCACGTAGAGGTTGTCGGCGGCATCCTCGTAGACATAGACCTCGAGGTGAGCCATCTCGTCTTCCACCTTGGCCGACACAATCAGGTTGTCTGTAGCCAGGATCTGGAGGTCTTCCCGGTCCTCTTCCTCGTCCAGCTTTTCGGCGTCGATTGTGATGTAGGGGTCCTCCTTATTCGACTCGTAGTAGGCAAGCGACTTGATGTTGCCAAACATGCTCATGCCCTCGCCTTGGCCGGGCTTATCTTCATCGTCTTCGTCGTCGTCATAGTGTTCCAGGTCATACTCTTTCAAGTCGTCGTCGTTAATGTCAATCCTGGGCGTATCTGTTAGTCTGTCATGTCTTCAGCCGTCTCTCGAGGTACATACTTTGTCTTGTCGGCCGGCTTATCGTCATCGTCCTTCATGTCGGCATCCTCCTCCTTCTCCTTGGCGCCATCTTTGGCAGCACTCTCCTGCGCCTCCTCCAGATCCTCTTGGGCGTCGTCGAGCTGGAGCTTTGCGAGCTCCGCTATCCGCTCAAACTCGGCCTCGTCGAGTGTGTACTTCTTGGGGAAGGGCGCGGCGAAGCCCCTGCGCACCCATTGCGAGGCTGTGATCATGGACGACATCTTGACTGTCGGGGTATCTTCTGATGGTCTTGATGAAGCCCAGTTGCTGTGCAGAGGTGGGCGCTCCAGATAAATTTCATCCAAAAATTTCTTGGTGGGGTTTATCGATAAGGATTTTGAAAATCCGCTTGGGCTGGTTTGGAGGTTGAGTTGCATTGGTCAAATACCAACCTACCTAGGTACCTACCAAGTGGTTTGGCAGATGCTGAAATTCATCAACTGCCGTCTGGATGGTCTCATGAGCTTAACTTACTTGTTATTTTCTTTACTCTAAGATCGCTCGGTATTATCAACGATCTTTAACTTCTAAGCATATGACTTAAATTGCGTCTTTTGGCTGTCATCCAGATCTCGGCGTCAATAAGCGTTGCGTGAGGTTTCACTACCTAGTACAAAACAATATTATTTAAGCACCTTAATCATCTCAAGAAATTACTACAATCGCCAATATTACCGAAGCATTGACTGTTATGTATGTCTGGGCATCCCTCATCTGAGTTGTATATCTCGACTATGCCGTGGAAGTACAGGGTACTGGGATCGCATTTCCCAATTGCAGTTATTTCGACCAACCAAGCTACCGATCATCTTGAGATTGTACGTGCATCCAGGAGTCATATAAAGAGACAGAGTTAATAAAGTATTAATAAACAGAACACTCATATCCATGGAGGAAGGGAACTCAGTTCATCATCCCTCTATGAGATGTCACGGCGCACGTGACCGTCGCCTTATCTTATCTCACACCTAGGCAGCTTGATTGTTTTCTGGTTACTAGATTCGTCTTCTCGACTGTCCGGCCAACAACTCCAACTTCACCACCACTAAAATGGCCGACGATCGAGAATACGACGGATACAATCCCAACCCAAAGAGGCGCCGGCTGGATTCCGCGCGCCCAAACCCGCATCAAAGGTTTCAAAATGGATCGTCGCGCGGCTCAACCCCTCGAGCGCAGTCGCGGTACGCGCCTACACCTCCTCGGGAGCCTGAAGGACCAGCACCAACCGAAGAAGACTCGTTAGTACTGGATCGCGACTGGTACGGAGGTGATGAATACGGAGGCCACACGTTTGGAGATGATACGCATAACCCCTTTGGTTCGTACGAAACAACATGGGAAACACAACGGCAAGAATCAGCACAGCACGAAAAGATGTCGAGCCGGTTCGACGCCCGACGGGAACAGAGACAGCGGGAGAACGATGCGTGGGAGACGAATCGAATGCTTCAGTCAGGTGTTGCGCAACGACGAGACGTGGCAGCCGATTTCGACGACGACGAGACAACCCGAGTGCATTTGCTGGTGCATGATCTGCGACCCCCATTCTTGGACGGCAGGACGATTTTCACCAAGCAGCTCGAACCCATCCCTGCGGTAAAGGACCCCCAGAGTCACATGGCTGTATTCAGTCGAAAGGGTAGCAAGGTGGTCAAGGAGGCACGGCAACAGCGAGAGCGACAACGACAGGCAAAGGAAGCTACAAGCATGACCGGCACGACACTGGGAAACATCATGGGGGCGAAGGACGAGGATGGCGACTCCGCATTACCGGTACCGGCTGAGGATGATATGGAACACAGTGAGCGCAAAGGCAACAAGTTCAGCGAGCACATGAAGAAATCAGACGGCGCAAGTAACTTCAGCCAGAGCAAGACATTGCGGGAGCAGCGGGAATACCTTCCTGCTTTTGCAGTTCGCGAGGATCTCCTCCGCGTCATCAGGGAGAACCAGGTGGTCATCTGCGTGGGTGAAACGGGTTCGGGCAAGACGACACAGTTGACCCAGTTTCTCCACGAGGACGGATACGGAAGCACTGGCATGATCGGATGCACACAACCACGTCGAGTTGCGGCAATGAGTGTGGCGAAACGAGTGGCTGAAGAGATGGAGGTGAAGCTCGGAAGCACCGTCGGTTATGCGATTCGTTTCGAAGACTGCACCAGCAAGGAGACGGTCATCAAGTACATGACAGACGGTGTCCTTCTTCGAGAGTCCCTCAACGAACCAGACCTGGACAGATACTCATGCGTCATCATGGACGAGGCGCACGAGCGTGCCCTGAACACGGATATTCTGATGGGTCTGTTTAAGAAGATTCTCCAACGGCGTCGCGATTTGAAGCTCATTGTCACGTCTGCCACAATGAACTCGAAGCGTTTCTCGGACTTTTTCGGTGGTGCCCCCGAGTTTATCATCCCTGGTCGAACGTTTCCTGTCGATGTCATGTTCCACCGGTCCCCAGTGGAGGATTACGTCGACCAAGCTGTTCACCAGGTACTATCGATTCACGTCTCTATGGGCCCTGGCGACATCTTGGTTTTCATGACGGGTCAGGAGGATATCGAAATCACCTGCGAGCTGATCCAGAAACGACTGGATGCGCTCAATGATCCGCCCAAGCTCAGCATCCTGCCCATTTACAGTCAGATGCCAGCAGATCTCCAGGCCAAGATTTTCGACAAGGCTGCGCCGGGCGTACGCAAGTGTATTGTTGCCACCAACATTGCCGAGACAAGTTTGACGGTTGATGGTATCAAGTACGTGGTGGATGCTGGTTACTCCAAGATGAAAGTCTACAACCCCAAGATTGGTATGGATACCCTCCAGATCACACCAATCTCGCAGGCGAATGCCTCGCAGCGTTCGGGTCGTGCTGGTCGAACTGGACCTGGAAAGGCCTTCCGACTATTCACGGAGAAGGAGTTCAAGGAAGACCTCTACTTGCAAACGATTCCAGAAATCCAGCGCACCAACCTTGCCAACACAGTCCTGATGCTCAAGTCACTAGGTGTGAAGGATCTCTTGGACTTTGACTTTATGGATCCTCCTCCCCAGGATACCATCACGACATCCATGTTTGATCTATGGGCCCTCGGAGCCTTGGACAATCTTGGCGAACTCACAGAACTAGGGAGGAAAATGAGCGCGTTCCCTATGGATCCATCCTTATCCAAGCTGCTTATTACGGCAGAAGAGTATGGCTGCAGTGAGGAGATGATCACTATTGTGTCCATGCTCTCAGTCCCCAACGTCTTTTACCGGCCCAAGGAGAGACAGGACGAGGCTGATGCTGCCCGTGAAAAGTTTTGGGTACATGAGTCTGATCATTTGACGTACCTCCAAGTTTACACAAACTGGAAGGCCAATGGCTATTCAGATGGTTGGTGTGTCAAGCACTTTTTACACCCCAAGTCGTTGAGGCGAGCCAAGGAGATTCGCGAGCAGCTTTTGGATATCATTCGAATGCAGAAGATGGAACTGACAAGCTGCGGGATGGACTGGGACATTGTCCGGAAGTGCATCTGCTCCGGATACTACCACCAGGCTGCCAAGTACAAGGGCTCAGGGGAATATATCAACCTACGGACGAACCTTGGAGTACAGCTACATCCTACCAGTGCTCTTTATGCTGGACACCCTCCCGATTACGTCGTGTATCACGAGTTGATCCTCACCTCCAAGGTGTATGTGTCAACAGTTACGGCGGTGGACCCTCACTGGCTGGCTGACCTAGGCGGCGTCTTCTACTCTGTCAAAGAGAAGGGATACTCTGTGAGGGAGAAGCGAATCACCGAGGTCGAGTTCAACCGGAAGATGGAGATTGAAGCCAAGATGGCTGACGATAAGCGCAAAGAGGAGGATCGGAAGCACGCAGAGGAAGAGCGGTCTCAGAAGAAGAAGAAGATTGGCTCAGACGGGAAGAAGTTTGTGACGCAAGGAGCTGTGAAGAAGCCTGTCATCAAGAGGCGGGGAAGAGGGTTCTAGCGATGGGTATCATATAACATTAGAATATAATTGAACATGAGCCAGCGTTCTGGGTTAGGCAAACTTGGTGTACCTTGGTATTGGCTTATTTCCTAAGTAATACCTTGCTTGTTCTCAGTGCTCATTTCTCGTAGGATTGTGTTGTTTCTGCGTTTAGGTATTGCGTCTTGTTTCCTTATCGTGTAACATCAAAGGTGTCTTCTCCCTCCACAATTTGCCGGTCTTCTTTTACGACCTTGGCCACTCTGGCGTGTCTGGGTCCGTAATCCACATCCTTGAGGAACTTGGTCAGGATATCTTCGGTAGCCTGGGCCTCGCCCTCGACCTGTTTGGGGAGTTAGTACAACCGCAAACAATCAAACGCAACATCTAGAATCACCGTATTATCCCGCGTGTTTCGGCACCATCCTGTGACCCCATACTCTTGAGCCTTCTTCCGCGTAAAGTATCTGCTCTTGGTTAGATATCACCGCTCCCGGAACATCTTGAGAGCTTCGCACCGGAAGCCGACACCTGGTGACGTCAGTTGAGAGCTCTGGAATGACACGGGACAAACATGCCTTGGACGGTTCCGTGAACGACAAAGTATACCTCGAGGCATGTCAGTCATGGGCCTGTACAGCTGAGAATGAAATTTTGCATACCCGCTTCGTCATGGTTGCGGTTTGGATGTACAAGGCAAGTCGTCACGTTTACTGGGATGGGGTAGGTGTGTTACACAGCAACTACGGGCATTAAACCGATCCTGAATAAATAATAGCTACACTTTACAAGAGAACCAAAGCTAGAGTTGCTGTGGCTTTTAATGTCATCCAATCTCGCTCAACCCCAAGGCAAGCTTGTCTTAGACACTGTAGCGGGTAATTTGCGGGTCCCCCTCGATAAGATAAGGTTTTGGCTAGGCCAGTTGATGTCACCAACCGAATGTCACCCAGAGCAGATCAATCCATCCCCAGCTTCCTTTGAACCACCTACAAACAAACCATTCACACACACACACACACCCTCGCAAGCAAAGTCGGTAGCCGTCCATGGAAACTGCACCGACTACAGAAGCGGCATCGGAGCCGATACGGTTCCGCGCCGGCAAGAAACGAAAGGCTTACCGCCAGCGCACCGAGGATCAAGAACAAGACTCTGTCGACACTCCAAAGTCTCCCGCCAGCGCGATCGCTCCGGTACCCGAGGACACAGCAGCGCAGAAAGATACAGATGAAGATGATGGCGATGCTTCCGTCGCTGCGGCGCTTCGGCTGCGAAACGCGCGGAGAGGACGACTCGGCGGCGTCGCCTTTCGCAACTCGAACCGACCCGAAGACGAGATCAACGATGAGCGCGCTCTCGTGCCCCGAGAATCAGACGAAGCCTCACAAGACACCGCGCTAAATAGCGTCGCGAATCGATTCACCCACCAAACCGGAATGCTCGCCGACCTCAACGACAGGCACATGTACGTCTGACCCCTCGGGGAACCGCATCTCCCACCACGCACAACTAATCATTCAAGGATGGAGTACATAGAATCCCGGCTGTCTAATCGCGCGAGTGGGAACACATCCCAGAGCAAATCATCCTCCGCACCCAGATCCGACGCCGCGCCGCATGCGACATCCGCGCCACCAAAGGAGACCAACGGCCGCGAGGTCATGCAGGGCCACCTGATGGAGATTGACCTCGGCGACGACGTCAGGGACCGCAACGTGGCCAGGACGGAGCGCATAACGCAGGGCGGCCACGATGAGGTTCCGCAGGGGCGCCGCGCAAAGAAGCCCAGGCTGGGTAGGGACGGCAAGCCGTGGCGCCCGCGGAACCGTCGTGGCAGCGACGCCATAAAGCGAGATCAGCTCGTTGAAGAAGTCCTCCGTGAAACTCGGCGTACGTTTATACCCCCTGGACCCATAGATGAAATACGGTCTAACAATGTGCTAGTGGACGTGTACGAAATGCCCGACAAGGTCAACAAGACCTCCCAAGCTGAAGAGGACGGCGCGGCCGATGACCGACTCGCAGAGGAGTTCCGCCAACAGTTCCTTGAGGACGTGGCTCAAAGACAACTGCGGAAAAAGAAGCCCGTCAGCCAACCTGCACGACCTGGGGCTGAGGATGTCCTCAAGGGCCCCAAACTGGGTGGCAGTCGCAATGTTCGAGCACAAATGAGGGATCTATTACTCAAGAAGGAGAAGGAAGGCAAGAAGTAAAGTCAATGGGGCGTTCTTATCTTCGCTCTACAGGTGTTTTTGGTCCGTCATATGGGTACACGCATTGGGTTGGTTTGGCTTGGGTAACTATCACGTACACATTATTATGCATCAATAGAAAGATACACGACTATTCACAATTTGATTTGACGCAGGGCCTTTAACAATTCGAGTTCCTTTGTTCCTATTGACTGCCTAGTCTGTAATGATCGATGTTATATCCTTCTGTCGACCCAGAAACCTAACCAATGGGTCAATCATGGAGATATTTCCAATATCCATCCATGTTCCCCGAGTTGAAACCAAAAACTCCTTTACCCAGCCCATTGTAGCAAAAAAGAAATATCCCAAGAGGGCAGAAGCAGCGCCCTATATAGAAATGAATGGAAAGTCATTTGGCACAGGCGGTGCCAGGGGAGACCATGATTCGCCGTCTTGATCGTGTGCAGGTTCATCTGCTCCCATCATATGCCCTAACGCCGCATCAATGTGAAAGAAGCCTCATGAATCCCCTAAATGGTAACTTAACGAAGAGCAAGAAGAAGAAATAAAATAAAAGAAATAGTGATTCTCAAAGAATCACTCATCTAATGTCGAGCTGGAAAGGCTTGAACCGTCCGCCGATTGTAGCGCAGCGTGGACACTTCCTTCGTGCTCCATGCTCGGCCATGAGCACCTCGACACAAGTCGGGCAGAGGCCGCAGATACACTCAGTGCATGCATATGAGTCCTTAAGCAGGGAGAAACCCTGACAAGCGGCACAATAAATCTGAATGTTCTGGGCCGAGTATGTTGGTGAAGAATCAGAAAGCCCCCGGGACCCAATGTGAAAGTTTTCGCCGCTCTCACCACTCTCAACAGATGGGAATGGCTCTACAGCATCTTGACCATAAGACGGAGGTGTGAGAGCCTGTTGGAGAGGTGAGGCTTGGTAATTGCCAGGTTGGAATTGCGTTTGATGAGAAAATGGCGGCAAAGATGCCCTGTGCATTGAGACCGGAGACTGCGGGACCTGTTAAGTGGTTAGTAACGTTATCAGGCAGGGAAAATTGGGGTCTGGACATACAGGAGTTCGATCTTCATCAATATCTCCAGCAGCAGAGGCAGCCTGATCAGCTGCGTCGATGAGATCTTCCCATCTCTTCCCGAAATCTGTAGAGGGTTCGACAGAAATGGCTTTTCTATCATTCCCTGGTCTGTATCGCTCTTCATTCTGGATTCTCCGTAGCCAGTCGGTTGCGGATCCCCTGGAATTCTTCTTTTTATGGTGAGCCTCCCTTCCTCGCTTTGTTACTGACTGCTTGCGGGGACGACTAGGACCAAGGGGGCGTTGGAGGGGTGGAAGGGTTGATGATCTCCCAGGAGGTGAGTTTGCGAGGATAGATGGAAGAAAGTCGCGCTGTCTATTGGACTTGGCGGAGGAATACGGGTCGCTGGTGATATCGTGATTTGAGAGGTTGAGAGGCGGCAATTCAATTGACGTTCGCGGCCTTCTCCGAGCATCCATATCTGAATAATATTCCTGTTCATCATTAGCCCTGGTCACTGATGCCTCTGTTATCGATAGGCGGCGGGGTAGCTCAACTTACACTATCGAAATCCATGTCCCGCTCACTTTTGACGCCATGCAGCTCGGCCAGGGCTGCTGCCGCACTGGCGGTGCCAAGCATAGGACCAGACGGAGGTCCAGCACCGCCGAGGTCCTCCACACGGCGGGGAGTTCCTGGGTTGCTGGACTCGTCGCGGTGATAATTGTGTCGCTCGTGAAAGCCTTGAAGGTGGTCAACGGGCGGGGGCAAGCCGGGCTGAGAGTGGGACAAACCCTGAGCTGTTGGAGCTGAGGTCTGATCGGGATGGCGACGCTCCGACGGTGGGGTATTGATCATTAGCAGGAAGCTCTCTTCGGTCGCCGGAAGCTTGGAAATGTAGTGTTCGGGGTGTGCTCGACGGATATGTTCTTGCATTGAACGATATCTCTTTTCCTGTATTTGGGTATTTAAGGTCAGATGAGGGACGTTTCCGAGAAACATGAGACGCGCTCCAGCTCAGTACACTGGCGAGCGGTAGGGTGGTGAGACATGACGAAAAGGTCGGGTGGATGCAGGCTCGGGAACCAAGCCCAGACGCAGGGACAGAGAAAAGGAAACCAGACGTGGGAGACTTACTCCGATACACCTCTTGCGACAGCTGGAGCCATCTTGATTTCGAAGGGGACAAACCACTTCATTGTTAGAGTCTGTAATTGAGAAAGAGGACGTTAAGGAAGATCGAGGCGGCATCTTGACCCCACCATGCGCAATGGCTTGCTGGCGGGGGTTGTGTAGCGACAAGATGGTGTCGATGAAGCTGTAGTTGTAGATGCGATAATTTCAATTGACGGTAATGAAGCTGTAAAAGCTAGGGACATTTCAAGGCGCAGCTCGTTAAAAGCGAGATGAGCTGCCCTTGAGCATGAGCAAGCTTGCTACAGGAACCGTTTCGGAATCGGTCCAATTATGCGGCGGTAGTGGCGTATGCGATTGTGAGGGTCGAGCGAGGTTGCGATTGATACGTCGTTGAAGCTAAGCAATGGAATCGATTCGAGTTAAGATGCTGTAAAACGTTGTTGAAGCGTCGAGAATCGACGAGGACAGCAAAAAGTTCGAGAGAAGACGGATGATCCGTCGAGAGGAGGGTGGGTGAATAGTAAGGAAGAGGGTGCGGAGGGGAAGGAGGAGAGGTAGGTAAAGTACGGATGGAGTGGGAAAGGAAAGAGGATGGATCGGAGGATGGAGCTTTAGAAGGTAGAAAAAAAAAAAGACGGAAGGAGGGAGGCAAAAGATGCTTTTGGGTAAAGCGTGTGAGAACAGGTGAGTAATAAGAGCGAACAAGAAGGCTAGAGCGAAGGAGTGAGTGCAAGACGGGAGGCAGACCAGACAGACAAAGGGTGTGTGTCGGCGAGTGTGTGGTGTGTGGTGCCGAGCTGAGCTCTGTTCTCTTACACAAGCAAGAACAAGAGCTTTTCGGTGCTGGTGCTGGTGCTGGTGCTCCAGACGTTTCACTCGCTCGTCCACACTCACACACCAGACACAAAGATCACTCACGGACCAGATGACCAAGCTTGGAGTGAGAAGCACAGGGAAGGAGAAAAAAAAAAGTACATCCAGCAAGAGAAAAACCTTGCGGGAGGGCGTGTGGGCAACGGATCCAGGCCGGTACCGAAGTGTGCTTCCGCACAGCAACAATAAACTGCAGGCGATAAAACCTCGACGACCTCGACAAGGGCACCACAGCCAGAGCCAGAGCCTGAACGAGCTCTCCCATACCTTCTACAACTACCAGACCTCCGCCTCCACCACTGGCGATCTCAGCTGCCTCGAACGACTTATCGCCCGGGACCAATGGCGTCAGGACGTAGCTCCGGGGGTGCGGGTACGGGAGCTGTCTAGCAGTCTTCTAGGCCCATGCGAGAAGCAAAAAACCTCTGCCACTCTTTCTCTGCCTTCTGTCTGGCTGCAGGCTGGGCGCCAGAATGGGACCGAGTTTGACGGACTGGGAACTTGACTGGGGCAGGCAAGCTTTCAATCTTGCAATCCTCGAGGCCTTTGAGAAAGCTGCTGCAGCAGGGTCCTGAAGAGCCTGCTTCGTCCAGTAGCAGAGCGCAACACCAAAGCAGGCATCAGCAAGCATCAGCAGCTCGAGAAGTGCATGGCCCAAGCGCCTGCGCGGGCAAATCAATTGGCTCCCATTGCAATGACTCGAGAGGGGTGGTGACAGCAGTGGAGAGGGGGGTGCCTGGCGGTGGAGCTTCCTGTCTGGACGGATGGAGGTTGATATGAGAAGCAGAGCAGACGTCCCTTGGCTGTTTATGTCCAGACGTTGCTGCCCTGTGAAAGGTGCTGCAGGCCCTGGGAAGCTCCCCCAAGAGCCAGGAAGCAGGGGAGCAAGCTCCATTCGAGTGGAGCTGGTCCCTTGCTCAGGTTTGTTCAAGGTCCCCTTCTCTTGGTCCATCCATTGCCAGAGCTTGCTTGCAAGAGATGCGATCGGTGGAGGCAGAGCTAACCACCACGGCACAGTACCAAGGCAAAAGTCTCGAGCCAGTCAATCACCAGCTGAGCTGGGTCGCGGATCACGTCCCCCTGCGATGCCGATGCCGATGCCAGTGCCAGAATCAATACCTACACCCGGCCGGCCGGCCGGCCTCGTCGACACCATCGGCTTGCGACAGGTACCTAGCATGTCGCAAGAAAAGGCCCGGCGCCTCCAAGGTTGGCCATGTCTGGAGAACGGCCAGGGTCGGCGGGGCCGAAACCCAAGGTCAACTGCCACTCACGGATCCTATCCCTAAGCCAACTCCGGACGTGGTCATCACATGTACACGGCGAGTACCTCTGCATGACTCTCGCCACGAACTGGTCCACGGGACCATAGCTACACAATGCTGTTGGAAGCTGGAGCTCAAGCCCTGGCCGACTAAACTTGAGCTGGAATCTCAGAGGCCGATGTGGCGTTTGGAATGCGACGGTTCGCAGCTGTGGACATGGAGAGATTCGACGTGAGAGTCGTTGCCCCCCACAAGCAGAAGAATATTGAATCATGTCCTACTTTAAGGGGTATGCAGCTCCTTTTTTTTTTCCTTTCGAGAAAGGGGATGATGGAATTTTCTTTTTCGATTTGGTGGTGGAGGGTAGCTGGCGAGAGGGGGGCAAGCTTCGAGAAGCTCTATTCATTGGAGAAGAGCTGATGCGCAGCAGAGCCATTTGGGGCACGAGTCTTGCCCACAGCCCAGCCTGGAGCCCTTGTCACCACAGTCTCGGGTCTTGTGAGACGGTGACATCACCGGCCAGGGGAGCGGGCAGCTCCTCGCCCTACGAGTACGGAACCGGCATTGTTGAAGGTGCAGGATGGGCGTGCGCAGAGTCAGACAAGTGAAGGGTCCTCCCCCTCGCTTCCATTATTATTCGACTCGGGCAAAGCTGCGAAGCGCTACACCCTTCTCATCGGGTCGTTCGCCTCCTAGGAAGGCGGTGAGCTGATGTCCGAAACGTCCAAAATCATGTGGCAATAGAGTGGACAAGAATTTACTCCTGTCCATCACGTCAAATCTGTCGCTTGACTCGAGCGAGGCAGCCAGCCAGCTGCAGGTCCGGTTGAAAGCGCACGAACGAGCTTTGAGGGACGCCAGTGACAAGGCATGGCATGCTGCTAGGGGAGTCGCCTGGAGCAAAGGGACCGGGAATGGCAACGAGCGTCGCAAGACTCGAAGGATGAAGCGCAGCGCAACGCAGCGCACACATCCAACCCAAGACCGCGGAACCGAGGTCGCGCCCACGATAAGTCCGGCTTTATTTTCGAGGCCCTCAGGGCGGTGACCCCGCGCCGCAACCACCGGCCACTGCGAATCTCACCCCAGCGGCAATCGTCGACGGTACCTCGATGCTCAGCTCCATGACGGACATGTTCACTATCGCGCCCTCGCTCTCAACTTCGGAGGTACCTTCCGGGGCTGGAACCGTAAGCCTAACACAGTCAGCGAGCAACTGCTGAAGCTCGCCGACAGCTCAAGGCTGATGTGCTCCCTGCCAGAGTCACAAACCGGGTACGGAAGCTCCCAGCTGCCAGAGAAGGGGTGGGAATATCCAGTGGGAGAGGTGGGAGTGCGTGTGGGGGCCAACTGGGGTGGAGATGGATGAAGGACGCCGGACAAGCAACAAATAACGACTGGCGGCAACGTCTTTTTCTCTCTTCTCCAGGGTAGCCAGCTTTTTGGTTGTCCTGGGCTTTGCTTTCAGATGAACGAGCAACGTCTTGAGTCTCGAAACTATCCATATCAGGTCTGCCAATCTTCAGTATTGGACCCAGATACATATCGAGAGCTTCCCCGCGTGGCCCACGCCGCTTCACTTCCTAGGAAACAACCGGGTTAGCCCTTCGACTTGCACAGCGTTGGCGAAGAGAGGGAATAAAAAAGGCTCGTCGTCGGGTCGTAATCCATAGGCGGGCGGAGCTTGGGGCAACTTAGGTTCGATCCCATGACCACTAAAAAAACAAAAACCTTGGACCGACATCCATGCTCGACAAGAGGGCAGAGTCAATAGGCTGCTTCCTGTTCGCGCCTTCGAGACCTAAATCTCCACCTCTTGCTTGGCTCTACTGGATGGTTACCATGCTATTGCCGCGATAACCACGTTGTGTCCGTGGTTCCAGAACCCGAACCCTTGAAGACATGGGTGTGCCCATTGAACAATTTCCAGTTAGCCAACTTCTCAATCGGCCGTCTTGTAAGACGATGGAGCACGGAACGCCGGTCGTCCATGACTGAAAAGCCATGGGTTTGGCGAGACGAGGTTTCTCAATTTCCTTGTTCCCTCACCGAGGATTATCGATCTTGCCAGCATGAGGTTGAGAACGAGATTCCCTTCCTTCAATCATCAAGTCTGGACATCCTTATGTTACTTATCGATCCGAGCAGCCGCGAGACTCGGCCGACCCTCAATACCTAACCCACCACCAATCGAGCGTCGAAACCGTGGATAGTCGCCGCTCTCACCACTTACTTGAGCATGCTATCAGAAAAGTAGCGAATGTCACCAGCATTTTATTCGACCGACCGACACATAGCCCAGCACCAAGTTCGCGTCGGTCGCTCATCACTCCACCGATAAGCACTGCAGAAACGTGAGTGGGCATACAACAGCATCCCGCTGTCAAACCGACATGTTGGAACGGAGGAATGCGACTCTGCGGATTTGGTATCACCCATCTCATCGGCCATCCCCATCTGCTACCTTTTCTACACAGACTGACTGGTGTGTTCCATGACCTGGACCACACCAGACAAGTCAATGCAACTATCGGATGATGGTTGAGCCTGGGCTCTCTGTCAGGTTGTCTTGGAAGTCTAGACCTCCAACGACGAGCCAGGCCAGTCGGCGCTGATCTTCAAGCAGACGAGCTGAATGGCTTCTCTGAGAGGTCCATTTGCGACCCCGAAACCACACATAACGACAACGACTTTGCCGCATCCTCGCCAATATCTGCACGTTCGCATATTCTAGAAACCAATGACTCTCACAGGTTACTCGAAAGCCCCGGATCGACGCAGGGCCACTAACCCAAGCTTCTTGAAAGTTTCCAAGATGCAGATCGCCAACCCCAGCAGATCGTCGACTGGAGCATCTCTTCATGGAAACTCAGTCAATATATCTACTTGGTGGCGTTTCTCCCCACAATCGACGTCAAACTGTTGAACCGTGCGGTCCAGGGGTCATTGCTATTCCTCTTGCGTTCGCCTGGGATGTCTGATTGGAGACTAGGAACCGGACTCCCTAAGCACTTACGTGTAGGACTGATAGATTCTTACACCGAGATACGTATGGGTTGATCGGATAGTAGACTTATTGTCGCCTGCCACGGCAATGATCACCTGGTGGAATGCCTCATTGTGCTACACTTATTGCCAGCAGCATCATCACACTCGTTGCGCTGACTTCGCACGATTCAATCAACGGCCAAGGCATTTGTGTCACTCAACATATAAACTTGGATGGAATAGTGGTGTAGGTAACTTCGAGTCCCATGTGGCCACGACCAGCTACCCACAGGTAGGTCCTACAAACTGACCTGGGACAACCGCCCCGAACCCGACTTTGTATCTGGTATTTCGTCGTTAAAGAGCCTTATGAACCCATATGACGGCATGACCAACTTGGGACTGGGTCGAGTTATTCAACATAAATTCATATGTGATGTATCAAAGGCAAGTCCCGGTCTCTAAGTCAGGATCCGCAGCCTCGACCTAGGGTATCATCCATCTGTCCATCCCATCTTGTCACTCCATGTACCCAGCCGTCTCCGTTATACACCCCGCCATATCATGCATGCTGGCTTCCTCCCTTAGGGCCGTATCACTGTCCCATGTGAGACTTGATTCATGTAACACTCCAGTCCTAGGAGTTCGTTTTCAATGTCCAAAATCTCCAAAACCACATCACCATCATTTTAGTCATTTACTTGAGTTGCTTGAGGATTTCTGTCAGGAAGTCCTCAAAACTTAGTGTGATGTATCCGTCGCGGTCGTCGTCGTACTTCTTAAACACATCCGTCATGCGCTTCAGAGAGATGCAGCTCTGGACAAAGAGGTCAAAGCTCATGACACCCTCGTTACGCTTGTCGTATGTGTTGAAGAGCAGTTCCACGAACTGGGGGCTGAGTCGATATCGAAATGCGACGAGAGCGTTGTTGAATTCGGGCAGGGAGATGTTGCCGCTGTGGTCGGCGTCGAAACGATCGAACAGGGTTCGCCATGAGGCCAAGAAGGACCATAGACCGCAGAACTCCTCAAAACCAATAGTGCCACTCCGGTCCGAGTCAAACATTCGGATCATCATGCGAACGGTGTGGGGGTCGAAGGCGGTCCAGTCACCGTTGACTAGCGCGGCAGAGAGCTCCCTTTCAGAGAGATGGCCAGTCCCTGAATAAGGGTCAGTGGGTTGCTCGTAAAGTTACCCCCTTGCAGGGAGGACGTCAGCAGACGATACTCACCATCCTTGTCTACGGCGCGGAATAGGGGCAAAAGCGAAGGGTCGGAACCAGAGCCATCAAGGGCGGGCGAGGGAGGAGGTCGCGAATTGAGGGTAGGGCGGCTGTGAGGCTGAGGCGGTCTCGCACCAGGGTTTGGAGGCGGCGACATGTGACCGTAGCCGTGCTGCTGGCCTATCGACTGAGACCGAGAGTCTCGGTGAACTGGCAAGGGCTTATCATATCGAGGTTGCTGTTGGTGATACTGCTGTGGAGGGGGTTGTTGCGGGGCAGGAGTCCTCGACTGGCCGGGTTTCTGCAGATACAAGGTCAACATGATGTGCTTTCTCCCTCGATAGCTGACGCATCAGCATGTGAGAACGGGCGAAACGTACGGGGTCTGGCTCGGCAAATCTGTACGAGGCGCGTGGTTAGCACTGGTATCGTGACATTGTCTTGGGCGCATCGCAGAACCACCGCTGGTTGGCGCGGGGGAATGAGGGGCAACTCACCTGGGGAGAGCATCCTCATCGAAGGGACGGTTGTAAGCCATGGTGATTTGTGTGATCCAAGGGTCTAGTTGTCCTGGAGAAGAGTTGGATTGGTAGGAGAACCTTTTAAGAAGGGAGGAGGACGAGTAGGACGTCGAGTATGACGGGGGTTTTTGAGGTCGGGCTGAAGTGGTGGTGCGCGGCTGAAGAGTGCCGCTGGGCTTGGACTAGACTGAGCGTCACAGATGGGCTGCGTGCCTTTTTTGCGCTTGGTTCTCGGTAAGGCCCAGGGGGGAGTATGAGCGCGGGGCAGTGTTGTCTTGTCGGTGGAGCGTAGAAGTGAGCAAAGTGTGGCTGAGCGTGGGAATTTATGGGCGACGACGAAAAGAGCGAGAGCGAGCCCCAGGGTCGGAGAAGCGGCTCCCACAGTAGGAGTTTTATCTGACGGACCAGGTTTGGCGATCACACGCGAGCAACGGATGGTTCAAGCGTGATGGGAGCCTGGTGACGTCGGTTTGAGAGATGTGTGTGTGGTTGTAGGTGAGTGAATGGGACAAGTGGTGTTTGTATTAGAAGAGCAATTTTTTTCTAGAGATCAAAGGGAAGGCACGCGGACAACTTGGCCAATTCGCAAGGGAAGCAAGGACCTGCTGCGTAAGGCCTGACATGCCCTTGCACCTTCCCCTGCTCAAGCTGATGGTTCTGGAGACGGGATTACGTCGTCGGGCTCGCATCCAATTCAGGCTGAGGAACGAGGAAGCCTGACTGCGCACGCAGCGAGCACCTCTCATTGCTGGGCTTGGCTTGTCTTGGCTTGGTCCCTAGGCAGGCCGATATCCGTCCTTACGGTACGTAGTCCCCCCTGAAGAGCCCTGTGGAACGCCCTGTAGGGATGGATGGAGGCGTTAGACGCTGGATGGACGATTCCATGGAGCGCTTCCATCTGCAAGTCAGCGTCTGCCCGCCCATCTCCAGGTGCAGTATGTAACTAGGTTAATCTGTCAGTGACGCCGGGGCGCCCATGAGCCACTGCAGAGGATGGCCTCAGCCACCCCGAGCACAGCATCCATCCAATCTCGGTGGAGGCGCGGAGCGGGCAGCGGCCATCTATCGTGGTCCACCGTCTTTACACATGGACTGGATCCATCCATGCATGGGATGGCATGGGAATGGATGGATTCAATCTCTTGCCGGCCCGCCTTCTGGATCGTCTGCGGCTGCGGCTTCCCGCGTATAGGGTCCTTGACATCCATTGGATGCTTGCCTCTTACTGGCCCATCCGTAGGTCACCTCATCGCATTGGATCGATGGGACAAGGCATTCCCGTTCCCATCCATCCATCCATCCATGCTTGCCCCTGTCCTCCCCATCTTGTCCTGAGAGTCACAACTACCGAGCAACCTATTATCACGGGCTGATATACCACTTACTCGCTTACACCTTGCCTTGGACTACCTAGAGCGGCTTGAGGATCTCGTCTAGTCCACTATTCCGTCTTGCACAATCGATCAAGTACGCACCTCGCAAGTCTCGGCAATATGCTCAACACCATTATTAATACACCTTGATTCCAGTCCTTGACCTCAACCTCAGCCATGACTGTCCAAAACGCCCAAGACACCTCCGAGTTCTGGTTATACGGATACGGGTGCGCCTCAGCTCTCTCTGATGTGGCTACACAGCCGTCGCATCCGAATATTGATTGATTCTCAATACTGACGCAGCCCTCTCCGTGATTTATAGGAGCCTCATCTGGAAGCCTCCGCCACACTTCGGTAACTAACTCACCCGATGTCTCAACCCTTGTCACCAGTTCGCTGACGCCCGCCTTCTAAGATCGGAGAATCCCTGGATGGGTCAACGGCTATGTCCGACGTTTCTGGCAGGTCTGAATACCCTCAATTGGCTGACCACATTGAACTCGTCCAGCTGACTCTCACACAGGCCAGGCATGACTCCAACACTTGACGAATAAGACAACAGCTCTTACTAACAGTATCCTCCAGTCAGGATCACCGAGGCACACCCGAGGCTCCTGGTCGTGTTGTCACTCTTATTGAGAGGTCTTACTGGGAACAGTTAAAAGACAAAGACGGCCACGCATCTGCACCGGAGCGTGTCTGGGGTGTCGCCTATCGGATCATTCCTGAAAAGGTCGCCGAGGTCAAGGAATATCTTGACATCCGTGAGATCAATGGTTATTCTATCCACTACGCCCCCTTTCACCCCGCTGACGGCTCTCCCTCGATCAACACTCTCGTCTACATCGGCACTCCGGAGAACGACCAGTTCGTCGGCCCCCAGGATCCCCAGGAGCTTGCTGAGCACATTGCCCGTAGTCAAGGGCCCAGCGGCCCCAACATTGACTATCTCCTGAACCTCGACGAAGCCCTCAACGAACTGGCCCCGAACAGCGGCGATGTTCACATCCATGACCTCGCTCGCCGTGTCAGGGAGCTCCAGAGCAGTGGCAAAATCGCAAACCTGAACCCTACGCCGACCATTCATCAGCAAAAGCACAGCACTGAAGAGGCGGAAGAGATTGAAGACCCAAGCCCCTGAGAGGAAGACATGTCGCTTGAATAGACTGTATCCTGGTATAGCATAGACAAACAGACACGTATAGAAGATCCTATCTGGCTGGTCAATACAGGGTTAGACATAACAACAAGACATTCCACAGCCTCAATTACACCGTGGAATGAATGCCTTCTCCGCACTCACAGTACGATAGCGTAGTGCTTGATGAGACCTATGATTCAGAACCAATTCCACTGATAGCCAAGGTCATATGACTGGGTTAGTTATGCAAAAGCTTGACGAAGGGGACCTCACGAGACAAGGGAAAGAATTCAAATAGCACTAGGTTTGCATTTGCCCGCCCAACAAGGCAATCTCCATTGTCTTCCCGCACAAAGTCATTAATAAAACGGCCGTGTCAAGATGGCAACCCCAAATGCCATGCCTTTTACCATGTCTCAACCTAAGCGCCCGGGTATAATCTGCGTCCAGCGTGCTCACCGATGCCTAATCATCCAGTCATACAAAGGATTCGCAAAGCCCAGGTGCCGAAACTCGTCGAAATCATTGACCCTCGCCATGTCTCTCCTACCCCCTAATCGACCCTCGTGGACCACTCCTGATGCGCCTCTAGCTACAGTCGACTAGTAGCCTCGTCCTCCCTGGGGAGGTTGCTGCTGCTGAGGAGGGAGCTGCTGCTGAGATGGGTCGTATCCATATTGCGGCTGCACGAATCCTATAAAGTAATTAGCCTTGGGCAGCCTGGAGTCGTCATCACTCTAGCATACCTTGAGGAGGCGTGCCGTAAGCCTGCTGCTGGGGCGGAGGGTAACCACGGCCGTACGGCATCGGGGCGTACATGTTCGGGGGTGGGACTTGGTAGCCGGGTCCAGGGGGAGCCATGCCGTACGGCATAGGTCCTCCTCCCCCGAAGCCTCGTCCAAAGCCGCCGCCGCCTCTGCCGAATCCGCCTCGGGGGCCGTTGTCAGATGCCTTGTCAACTCGAATCGTTCGTCCGTCAAACCTAGTACATGTTAGACCTCACTGCCAGTAGGCGATCGATCACAGCGAATCTGCCATCGGAAAGAAGGAAACAGAGTGACTCGTACTCGACGTTGTTCATGGTAGCGATGGCTTTCTGGGCGTCTCCCTCCTGGGTGTATCGCACAAATCCAAAGCCGCGGCTGCGGCCGGTATCGCGGTCCTTGACCACAACCTTTCCGTGTCCATTGTTAGAAGCCGCTTCGTACTCTAGCGAGCACTCGCACCAGAGCCACAAGAGAATGCAGAACCAGGAGTGCCTTGCCAGCGGGAGAAGAAAGGAACGGAGTCACATACAGCTTCCTCGACGGGGCCAAACTCTTCAAACTTCTGGCGAAGAGTACCCTCCTCAGTGTGCCATGCTAGGCCACTTATCTTGGGTTAGCACAATGCGATAACCGCTCACATGGTGATTTGACAAACCCGATGAAAAGCTTCGACATGATGGATATCGGGGGTCTTGAGTCTGTTCAAGTGTTAGTTGTGGTTCAAAGAAGAGCAACGATCCGGTTCTCCGGCATTCGGCGGTTCATTAGCATGGCGTCGCAAGACCGTGAGGCTGAGAATCAGAGTTGCGCATCTTTGTCTTTATCAAAGAGAGGTAGATAGCCAGACAGACTCTGCCATCACGGCCATGGAAAGGAACATGTTGCCCGCAAACCACGCGTGGCCTCGAATGGAAGCGCGCGCTTACATTCGCAGGCGGCGCAATCGCAATCACAGTCGCAGAGAAGGCAGAAGAATAGGAAGCCGCGGAGAGCGAGAGGACATACCTATATTGCCTCAAGCAGGTATGAATAGTGACAGTTCTGTCAAAGGCGCACACGATCTTGCACCGGAACAGCTGGACTCGTGCGCTAATTATCGAGATAGCTGACAGGAAAACGTGGACGGATTTGAAGTTCAGGGAGAAAGATGAGAGTGGAGCTCCAAAGACGGGAAGATGGTGCGGACGCAGTAGCTTAGACGACGCAGCGCAGCGCAGACAAAAGGATGAGAGGGGTCTTTGAGGGCGCGGGCGGAGCGTGACCGTGGAGGTTATGTATGCACCCTGCAGCGAGGCAAGGTTAGGCACGTTGTATCTGTAGTCCGGATCGGTACCGGCGTTGAATGACGATGCCGGCCAGGGGTATCTTGTCGTCTGCCTGTCCTGTCCTGTCTAGACTCAACTCAACTCTGGGCTGGGCTGGGCTTGGGCTAGTCGTGGTCTTTAACAGGCGAGCCCAATGTCAAGCAGCACATGCAGATGGATGGCGCTCTCTCGCTCGCTCGCTTCATTTCCGCCATCCTTTATAGCTCAGGTCCAAGTCTCCCTCCTCCCGTCGATCCTCCGGTGGGCTCATCCGTGGAGGCAGTGCTGGGTGAACCGTCACCGCGACAGGCCGGGGTGCCATGGGCATGGCCCACGGATGGACGTTTCGTCGTCTGGCACTGGCACCGACAGGGACCCAGGGCCCTTCTTCCAAACAAGCTTTAGGCGGAAGAAGCAAGCACGCACGGC